TGCATGTATGTATGCATGTATGCATGTATGTATTTATGTATGTATATATATATATATATATACATATACATGCATGTATGTACGGAAGTATGTACATGCTAGAAAACCTACAATGTGATTTGCAGTCCTTAGAGTTTTAATAATCACAATAAAAATATTAAACGGGTAAAGCTGTCGCTGCTAAACACCATTGAGCTGTGCTTGCTTTTCATGGCCTCAGGTGCAGCAGTCATCTCTCTGACAGTTTGGCCCAGGGTCACTAAACTGTAAAGGATACTAACACATCTGAAATTTTTATATTATGATTAAAAAAATAGGGTAAATTAACATATTGAACACTATAATCATGGTAATGATAATGATGGTAATACTGATATAGTATTCGTCCATTATTGTTACTATCATCTACATCAATGGCAATAAGTAAGGTTAGAAACTCGAGCCAAGAGGCCCACGCTACCGGAACTTATTGCTGTTTCCGTTGACTGAACCTATCAGTACCTACTCCTGAGTTGAGTTGGTCGCAAGGCAATCGAAGAGTAGTTACTACAAGTAAATGATCGCGACATAATGTAATTTTTATTACGTCAGGGATGAAGTTCACAATGCCATTCATTTGGTGCAACATGATCTCGGTCCACATCCTGTGAAAAAACAGTTGGAGAAGAAAATGTGGACTGGAAAAACCAAGTAACCAACAGTTTTAAAACTTTGTCTTTTCTAAGCCTTAATCATTTCTGCTATGTCCATCGCGGCTTCCCTTTGTTAATTCCAATTTGTAAGGATCTTTAGCAATAAAACCACTTGCTCCCCTTGAAAAAACAGTAAGAGAAGAAAATGTGGACTGGAAAAACCAAGTAACCAACAGTTTTAAAACTTTGTCTTTTCTAAGCCTTAATCATTTCTGCTATGTCCATCGCGGCTTCCCTTTGTTAATTCCAATTTGTAAGGATCTTTAGCAATAAAACCACTTGCTCCCAATTGGGGAGGAGTGTTAATCGAATTAGCCTATATGGAAGTCACCAATTACAAACCCCACTGAGGTTTATAGTAACGTTCAGTTCGGAACTGAGTCGTGACAATTTCGCGTGATATTTTCTTGTAGTTATTGTTGCGTTACAGGATCGAAATTAACCTTTTCGAATTAATTTCGAACATGACCGAATCTCCTATCTCGAATTATCGGTGGGGAAAATACATCAGATAAAAGGTTAACGTTTTCCTACCGTTTATCGTATCGAATTCGCCCGTGAAATCGTCCGTAACGGATGATGTACACCAAATGTATTCAGTTCTTTCCGGAGACAGCAGAGCGATTAAATCATCAATGCCAGACTGAATCATGTTTTAAGAGCACTGACAAAGCACTGACTATAAATATCGAGATTCCACCGACAGGTACATGTGACTTAACTAACCGCAAACGACTCTTGTCCGGATTACGTTATATCGTTTCGTCAAATCTAGTAATTACTGAAATGATCTTTAGGGAATGTATTGCGTTGTCGTTTACACTCTTTTCAATTTTTCGCAGAAAGCAAAGCACAATAGAACTTTTCGATATAATTTTTAAAAAGGTTCATTAAAAGGGTCCTTCAAGAAAATTCTAGATATTTACTCATGGTCAGTGGCTTTTGAGTATCTTCAGTTTCTCCCTAAACACATGTGCCTGACCCTACCCCCGTCAGTGTACCAGTGACATATGTATCAAAGCCCGACTTTCCTTTGAGTATTCGCGTTTATTTCTGCTTGAAAACATTCCAATCGCTTTTCCATGTCTGATCGTGCTAATATATGTCTGATTTACCTCTCCTGCTTAACAAGAAAAAATCTGATGATGAAGTTGTCTCGTCAACACCAAACCTTATGTATTTAACTATGTGACATTTGAACTTACAGATGTGTGAACATTTGAGGCAAGATATGCGCACGGTATATTCTAATGTTCGATTCATTCGTCAATGTGGTCTTACGAATCTGTGTTCGGTCGTTTCGGGCTGATTTGTAGCATTTGTTTCCTTCTCAAGCCACTGTTCAATCCTTTCCGGCAAATTGGAGAACACATCGCGATTAACTTTCAAAATAGCGATGAACGACCTCCTTGAACGAGCTCGAGCGTCGTCGATCGTTGCTTGTGATTCGGTAGTGGCGGAATGTATATCTGTCATCGCCACAATACAGTGAATAAAGAGCAACGATTTAAAATATCGAGTTCTTGCACAGAGGTTTGATAACCTAAATCAATAAGCCATTTCCGAATTCTCACGGTTGAGAGATCCGATGCTGAAATGCCATGACTCTTAATTCGCACTTTGCCTCGTTCTCGTGTCTCAGTGAGAACTTGAAAATGACACAAACCGCCGGGATGTTACAAGATTTCTGAGAAAAACCGGAAGTGTCATCTACTGTTTAATTTTTATTTATTTATTTATTTATTTATATTGACTTTGCAACTTTTGAATGAAACGTAGTTTTTGTCCTTATAGAAGTTGAACATAAACACCACTGTAGAGGCAGGGAATGGCAAGCACATGAGGGCCTTGGATGTTTTTAAATATTCCATAAAATATCTTTACACACGGGCAGTAGAGGTGATTAAGGAGAGAACTGGTGACGAAGACTTCGGAGGAAATGATGTGCAATGGGTATTGACCGTCCCAGCAATATGGAAACCAGCGGCAAAACAATTCATGAGAGAGGCTGCTTATCAAGTGAGCTGCCATGATATACACATTTCAATCATCAACAAATCCGTGTAATGATCAGTATTATTGACTAATTTTCAAATCGCTAACGCAAAAAAGGGTAAAGCTGTTGCTATGAAGAATGCAAATTCTTGCACCATACGAGAAGAAAATGGTGAAACATTACTGAACCAGTATGCTTGATTAGGGCTCGCTCTGCGAAATCGCAAAAGCACAAGAAAGAAAAATTGGGCGAAAATACTTCTTTCCTACGGCCATTTTCGGCAATATATCTTTGTAACATCATCTTCATTGACTATACTGACATCCAGTATTTGTACTTTTATCTCAGGCAGGGCTGGCACATCCCTCAAACCCAGAGCAGATACTGATCGCTTTGGAGCCAGAGGCGGCCTCCGTCTACTGTAGAGAGCAAAAGGTAAGAGAGTTTGTTGCTGAGAGTGGTAGCAACGATGACTCGGTTGAGGACACCATCGCCCGACCAGAATCACAGTACATGGTAATTGACATTGGAGGTAAATTTAATTTTTCTAGTAGCAAATTTTCCACTCGAAACTCATGACTTGAACAAAGACATCGACCTTGTGCGGTTTAATGCTTTATTTTATTTCCGTTAGTTTTTTACTTTTTTCGATTTACCGTGATGATCAGCAGAGTAAACAGAAAGTATAAATCTCGAGACAGAAAAAGTGATCGACGATTCTATCATTTTCATGAAATGTTTTCTGTTATAACAAATGTGCAGGGCCCAGTTATATGAAGGTCAGATAACGCTATCCAACAGATAAATTCCTATCCGGTGGATAAATGATAGCGGAGCTCGCAGAGCGTAGCCCCATAATTATACAAAAAAGTAGTAACCCATGAAGCCGAAAAAATTTGGATGTACGACGGTATGACCGTCCGACCGCACAAGGTGCTACTGTCAACCTGCGTGGTCAACTGTACCGCGGGCACGCCAACGTCACGGCTTTGTTCAGTAGTCCAGTGTTCAGTGCACTGGGCTCCAAGTCGGACCACCCAGGTTCTAGTCCTGGCCGGGGCAAGGCGTTGTGCCCTTGAGACGTGCGGGAAAAAAAAAGTACGAGCTCCGCTTTTAGGCTTGGCTAAATCTATATATTAGCAAAACTTATGACGTTATCCACCGTATAGAGTTTTATCCAGTGAATAGCGTTATCCAACTTTCGAACTACCGGGGCCAGAACGTTATTCTAAAATATTTTGACTCTTGTATTCATATAGGCGGAACTCTTGATGTGACTGTTCATAAACTTATGGAAAACGGTGCAATCCGAGAGCTTTATAAAGCCACAGGAGGTACATTTGGAGGACAGAATGTCAACAGACAGTTCAGAATCCTTCTTGAACAAATTTTCACCAAATCCCTCCTCGATAATTATGCCTGTCACAATCCGGTGGATTGGCTCTGTCTCATGAATGATTTCGAAGTAAAGAAACGCGGAAAACGTATCTGTGAAGGGGGGACAACACGAATCCGGTTGCCTGGTAGTTTCTTGAGTAAATTTCTCAGCCAGAGAGGTTGCCATATTAACACAGCCATTCAGCAGCATTACAAAATGGATGAAATAAAAGTCCTTCGTAACGAGTACCTCTGCCTTGAACCAAAAGTCATGAGGCAGCTGTTCAACCCAGTCTTGGATGACATCATTTCCCACCTCTCCAACCTTCTCGCCAAACCAGAATTGTCTGAGGTCAAGTTTGCATTCCTCGTAGGCGGTTTTTCTGACTCAGCTGTTTTACAGGAAAGAATCAAGGGGCATTTTGGCCATGCCTATCGCATTTTAATACCGCACTGCGCATCCCTTGCAGTTGTCCAAGGTGCTGTGATGTTTGGACAGAAACCTAACACTTTCGAGTCCAGAATAATGGCTACCACCTATGGCATTCGTGTACATAAGCTCTTCCTCGACGGGTTACATCCTGAATCGAAAAAGGAAATAATAGCTGGAATCCCACGCTGTAAAGATGTGTTTTTTAAGTTTGTTAAAGTCGATGAAGTCGTTAAAGTTGGAGAAAAACGTCAATTCACTGGTTTTGCACCCTTGACAGGCGAAGAGAAACAAGTGAAGCTCGATTTCTACCAATCAGAATGTCCAGATGCGGAGTTTGTTACAGATCCTGAGGTGCGCAAGGCCCCCGGTCGTGGATTAGTGATTGAAACACCAGAGGCATGGAAAACGAAAGATATTGAGATCCATTTGCTCTTTGGTGGAACTGAGATAAAGGTCACGGCTGTTAATCGTACTAGCAACCGACAATCCACGGTTCATCTAGACTTTCTGGCCAGCAGTTAGTAGATTTAGGCATTTTTCAATTGTTCAGCATTAGTAAACAATTGCAGAAATTTGTGTCAGAGAATGACTTTAGAAATTGATGTATGGGTTTACCGGTGGCAACACCGGTCCCTCCAAACTACCTGTAAATTTGTCATTTTACCAAAACAAATATTTTTTCCATTAACCGATGAATTTTTGTGATACGTAACAAATACCATTGTTATCCATTTATATGTTGATACGAAAATTAGTACTACTTGCAATTATAAGCATCACAAAGGTTTTTAATTGATTATTTCAGTGGATATCGAGTCTTGCTACTATCTCAAAATTACTATTCCATAAAAATGATTGTGGAAGACTACATTAGTATTGAATCATTTTAGATTTTAGGCGGAAAGTTTTTGAGGTATATACGTCGGTATTTCTCTAGTAAATAATGATCTTTAATTTTTTCCCTACTCTTCTTGATATTTAAAAGCAGCTTACTAAACTTGCATATTGCAGATTGTAGGATGGGTGAGTTATCCTTCATACTCAGTTCGCGTAATTCGTCACAGCTAAATTTTTATGAAGCTGTCTACATAATGAAATTTAAGTCAACATTTCATGAAAGCCTCACAGCCTATAAGACTTAAGACTTATTCTACTAGTTTCTTCATTCTGTAAAAACGCACATCATCTGTTATATTCATTTTGTATCATCCATGGTAAAGATAGTGCTAGTTTTACATCCTATAGTGATTATGGCTCTGGAATAGAGAATCTCGCATGAACTAAAACTTAGTTTAGATTGATTTCCATTCCCGGCTCGTCTTCTTCCTTCTTTACTCGAAAATTTTAGTTGCTTCTGTACGTGTTCTTGTATTTCGTGTTCATTTTCCAGCTAACCTTTGCAGTTGGAGCACTTACGCACTTACATCAGCCCCTCACCGAGATGATTTTCGAACCGTTGGCCCAAAGTTTCCAGTCTGCCAGATTTTATGCCGGTACACCGCTCATAATCGAAAGACGAACAGTGACAGTATTAGCATCGATCACAAGTAACGCAATGGCCGGGCGGGCTATGTATATTATTTAACTGATATCTGAATGACGCAGATAACTGATGTTGCTAGTCAGATATTCAAGTATGTTTTATGAAATCCCACCGGACACACTAAAGTGGAAAATTATCCTTGAAAAGAATAGCAATAACGGTTAAGAGGAGGAGTAAGTTGAAAAGTAAAAACTTTCTGCTTACAAGGAGTAAAAACTGGAACTAAAACAAAACCGGAAAGAAAAAGTCATTGACTCACCATTATCGATGAAAGTCCCTCCTTATCAACACTTACATGCGGGTTGTTGTGGCTGATGCGAATTAAATAATATTCATGATCCTATACTCAGCACGAAAGAATATATAACTCATTTTCTCTTAGCTCGGATGTCATTCCAAGAATTCGCGGAAACTTAAGACAACTTAACCTTTCCTACATCCACCAATAGGAAATTGATTTTAGGCATCGTAAACTCAGCTGTTTTCCGAGAAAATACACACTATCACAGGGAGAATGGAGTATATTACTTCCTCTTAGCTTAAGTGCTTTCCCAAGAATTCGTGGGAGTTACGTCGACTTGACCTTTTTCCTGCACCCACCAATAGGCAATTGGTCTTTGGCATCGATAACTCGGCCGTTTTCCGAGAAAAAGCACGAAGTTGTGCATTGTTTCTTCTCAAGAAAATTTTGATGACATTTAGCTTCGATACTGAGGAGAATCATTTAACAGATAACTTGAGAGGGTATCCTTTTACCCAGGTGGTTAGCCACAAAAATGGCCTACAAAGGTAAGAACGCTGGTACTCAGACTCAATGGCAATATACCTGAAATCAAATTCTTCACTGTTTCGCCGAGGTTTCACGGAAAGCCAGAAAGTCCAATCTTAAATCAAGTAGATAGAGTGCCATCGTGGATAATGATCTCAAATGAGAATGGAGGCCGGTATCTGTTGGACTCGCGAGGTCCTGGCCGATTTCAACAAGTATCCTCGATCTCTTTCATAATAACCTATTTTTAAACTTTTCATTTGTCTGTTCATTTTCACTTCCAAGAATTATTTTACTTGCTGAATGGCTTTCACTAGTTTATTTTTCATCATTATTTCGCTTTAAAAAAGATTATTTCAAGAAAGCCTCTGACGAGTTAGCCCTTTCGGTCTGCATCGAGTGCACCCAGCAGCTTCCATGAAAACGCCAGAGAACACCAAAAATTTGATGCTAATCGTTGAAAAGACCCTTTTACAGTTTTCCATCGCATTCATGAAATTCATTCATTCATTTGACGTTGATATTGAACAAAGTTAGCCGTTAGTTCGCACTTTCTACGCCATTTCTACAAATTTCAGGCATTTGAAAAACTCTCGACAAACGATCTAGAGTTACAGACAGAACTTTGTACCACAGTTCCTTCCTAAAAACCTTTGTATACTTGACCTGTTCTTTTTATGTAATTTTGCATTATTGAGAATTATGAGTATCAAACGAATATTTTGAGCTTTTAACGACTCAACATCAGTTTTTATTGGAAGGCAATAAAATGTTCTGTCTCGTTTTTCTCGGTTTGAACTGTAAGTTACGGAACCTCGTTTCCCGTCCGATTTATGGCCCATGCGCCAAGCACACGGGTCATAAAACTCGGTCCGTCAAAAAAAAAATTGTCGTTTTAATCTCTTACAGCACTGGAAGGCTCACTCCTTTAAACTTCAAAGCGTTCGTATCTGACAGTCATTGCCATTGATTTCAGAACAACCGACGGTGGATTTGCTTTTCCATTCATCAATGATGAAGGAGAGGACGTCATCTTCATGAACAGAGACTGGGTGATTGAACAAGGCGCTCAAACAAGCAAAACCCCAACATGCCTGCTACTCAAATCAGATGTGTCATTTGACTTATTTGGTTATGAAGCGATGGAAAAGTACAGCAATCTTCAAGATGAAAGAGAAGAGAAAGATCATCTCTTTTTCAAACATTTTAAAATGACTCTTCAAAATGAGGAGGTAATAATGAGCCCCACTGATTACCTTCAAAGATAAATTATTAAAGACATAAACCGCACTTCCTATTGGTTTAAGGCGTGATTACCCGCGCAAGATGTTGGGAAAACACGAGGAAAGTTTGTGAATCGCGAGTTGGATGCCAGTCTATTTCCATTGAAACATTTTGATAGACTTTAATATTCTATGGGTTAGCCGGTGCAATAAACGGTTTTTGACAAACCAGGGTGCCTGTACGTAGTATCTCAGTGATACTTTTCACGTTCTAGAACGGAAAAGAGAGCACACAAAAGCCCGAAAGGAGTTGCTTGAAAGAATTTTCTTTTTCTTTTTTTCTTTTTTTCTTTTTTTCTTTTTTTCTTTTTTTCTTTTTTTCTTTTTTTCTTTTTTTCTTTTTTTCTTTTTTTCTTTTTTTCTTTTTTTTTTTTTTTTAATTTAGTCGTTTGATCTCGGTGATTTCCACAAAGACGTTTACAAGATGCTTACTTAATCCCAGCGTAAGAAGCGCTGGCTCGACCTTAGCCCTGATAGACTATACGTCCACCATAGCTGTCAGGTTCAACCGTACACTTGCTGATCTTGAAGGACTTTGTCATGGCGAAAGCATGGGTATAAAATTTCAATTCCGTCATCTTTAATCGTATCATACGCATTTATCTTCGTCATCCTAAAATATTTGGTTCATCTGAAGTTTCTTAGAATCGCTTCTTTGCCAAGGTGATTGCAAAAAAATATGGCGACATATTTTCCTTTAAACACTGGGTTCATTCTCTTCTAGAGTCTTGACAGCAGTCAGCAGACAGGAGATGATCATTTCAGTCCAGACGATGTCCAATGGGTTCTAACTGTTCCGGCAATATGGACTCCAAGTGCAGTATGTAACTCAAGTTAACACGCTAAGAACGTAGCAGTTAACGTATAACATCATAGTTAACTAGAATTTTTTTTAACTTACAGATTAAGGACACGAGTAGATAAAATGCAAAGATTCCATTAATTGACTGCTACATTATATCGTCATCCTCTATGGTAGTTAGGGAAAGAGTTTTTTTTAGGACTAAAATACTACCTACACTGCTCTGCCCACTGCCCATAAGACAATTTTCACAAAGACCGCATGAGCTTAATTCAACCCTGAATAAGCTAAATACCTGGTCCTAGACATCATTCAGGTAAACATATTTATTTACATCATCATTGCGCATTACATATCGACATTCCTATCCTCGAAATGTGTAGTAGGTTGAAAATTCGAATTACATATTCTGCTGCACAAACTGTGATCACCGCATGGGCAAAAAGGCTTGTAGATTCTTTTAATACTCTACAAGGACTTGAGAGTCCTATCCAAACTCTACTACTGTTTTTCGGTTTATTGACCCTCGCCAGCCAACCTGCCAGAACACCTTCGAAAAGTCCAAATCGATCGCCGCAAATTTTGTCCATAGAATATTTAACAATTACTCGCCTCAGGCTCGGTAAATATCATGAATAATTTCCGAGACAACGTCGAGAGTATTATTCAACAATATTCATTCAGCCTGAGGCGAATAATTGCTTTGGTATAACTGCTCAGGAGCTTTCGAATTCTGCGGTAAATTCGTTTTGATGTTGAAACCATTCTGTTACAATTGTTTTGGTTACTCGTATCAAGATAAGCAGCCAGTTTACACTAGAATTTAACAGGTTCATTTAATTAAAAAAGTTCTTATATTTCTTTTGAAAAGTGTTACGCCAAACTTAGTAGTATCTTTTGTGGTCTTTAGAGTTGTATTTTCTTTCATCACGTGTATCATTTTCTGCGACACACTAATAAAACGCGAGGGAGCCTTTAAAAATTTTGCACCCTACTTTAATCACCTCACGCGAGTGATTCTAGCAAGAAATGACGCAATACTCGACCAGTCTGAGCTCGTGCATCTCTATAATCACCGGAGCAATTATACTAAACTCACATATATAAAAAGCATGACTGACGTATTTGATTAAAGAAGGTCTCAGATCAATGAGAGGAGAGACTTTTATCAACTCAAAGTAAGGACCATTCTTTAAAAATTAATTTCAGAGGTGATTATTGAAAGCTTGGTAGTAAATAAGTAATCTCTTAGGCTATGTTTTTTTAATAATTGATGTTAGCATGCTAACCATTATCATCATTTTTATTAGTGATCGTATTATTGCTGCTATTATCATTACTATTACTATTTTTACCATCATTATTATTATCATCCTGGTTGGAACCAACCCCTTTTTTAAGTTCAACTCTCGTTTCAAGGGGTAAAAATCCTTACAGTAAACATACTAGGAATCACTAAGAAAGTTATTGGTTGTCCCGTGAAGTCAATGATACATCTACAATGTAGAGTAATCGCAAAAAGATTAACCATGATAGGATATAAAGTAAGTATATATCAGCTGACTTTCATTTTTTTTATCTCAATGGGGACATTAGATGTCACAGTGCACAAAATACAAGATGATGGTAACATTAAAGAGGTCCACAGGGCGACCTTATGGTGGAATGTACATCAACCAGCAGTTTGAAAATCTTTTGGAAGAGTTATTTGGTTCAAAAAGTTCACAAAGCAACATCCATCTGATTGGCTGTCGTTAATGAACGAGTTTGAAGGAAAGGAACGCGGGAAGCGCATTTTAGACGACAGTTTGAGGACAAATGTCAGTTTACTAAGGAGCTTGGTATCCGTGTTAAATGAAACTCAAAGTTCGGTGATGGACAGCTGTGGAACAAACAACTTTGATGAAAAAACCGCAACTATCAAAGGTGCAAAGCATGCTCCTTGTTGGCGGCTTTGCTGATTCTGCTTTCTTACAACAAGAATTAAAAACGGAGTTCGCAAGAAGGCTAAGGATACTTGTTCCTCATTATAAAACCATTGCAGTTGTTCAAGGAGCTGTAATCTTTGGAAAAAAACCTACGAAAATATCCGAAAGAGTCGTCTCCACAACTTTTGGCTCCGATCGTTCGATAGATTTTATTGAAGGAGTTCATCCTGAAGAAAAGAAATTTATTACAAATGGGATTGAAAAGTGCGGTCAAGTATTTAAATGTTTTGTAAGGGAAAACAGCGTAGTAAAGCTCGGAGAGCGAATAACAAAAACCTCTCACCCTGAGCGAACTAGCGCAACAAGCCTGAAATTTGGATTCTACGTCACAAGCAATCCCAAATAACAGTTTGTTACTGACCCCGAGGTAACAAAGATTGGAAGTGTCAAAAGTCAGTCCCCAGATACATGAAGAGGTAAAGATAGAAAACTTGAAGTCAGTATATATTTCGGAGGAACTGAATAACTGCCACTGCCTCTGATATTTCAAGTACAAATAGCGCCCAAACCACCTTTGGACTTTTTCTTTCGATCATTAATGAATTTTTTTCTAAACGGATCTAAAACAATAATCAGACCATGATCATAACCTAAGCATTTATTTCCAAAAACAAGTTCCATAGACGTGCAATTACTCAATATTTAAACACTTGCTCAAGAACAATTGCAAGGAAAGCTTTTGCCTTTAAGATGGATGTTAAGTATGGATGCTAAACTAGGGACAATCTTTACAACAGTTTTCTCTATTTCTTTAGTTTGACCACCCAAACTCTAAAACAAGCTTTAACTACTCAATACAGAAGCAATTTAGTTTCTAAGCAAATGCTCTCATTAAACATCAATAAGGAAAAATGTCGATGTAAAGACGTTTTAATGTTTTGACTTATAGACGAAATAAAATAGTGCTTGCATAAACAAACAGAATACTCATTGTTAATCGCCTGAATTCTATTCCATCTGTTATCGTATATTTTTCAGAGGTCCTTCTTTCTCTAACAACGTCACAGGTAACACTAAATATAAGAGGTCGTTTCATGTCAGAAAACCCACTTATTTCGATCATGCATCGACCTGATTCATGCCTCTCATTTACATTTGGAGCGTGGCACAAATAAAAGGTATTTCACAAGATTTTGAACATTAAAGCAATTTCCAAACTACACATAACCTTTTGCTTTAGTTGTTGGGCGTAGAAATTCAAAAGATGCTTACTCGGTATTCGCTTTTATCTTACACAAGACTTCTCCTTTTCGAATACATCTTCCTTCCCCATCAAACAGTCCCGGCCAAAGATAACATGCTATCTCCTCTTCCTGATGTTGGTCAGGGATTCCTTTCGCCAACGTACGTACCTCAGGACTCATATAACAACCCATCTTCTTATGGCATTGTTGTAGGTACAAGGATTGATACTCTAACCTAAGTGGTGGTGTCTGGGTAACCATTCTCCAAGTCAGCCGGATACTTGCTTTTATGTACTCCTGGAATAGTGGTTTATGAAGGTGACTCGCTGCGTGTGAAAGTCGGCTGTTTCTCAACAATTTTTCCTCTTCCTGCCACCTGTTCCACTTCTTTTCAACAACTCGAATGACATCCTAAAAGATTTTTGAAGATTATTTGAAAAGTTAGGCGTACGCGTTCGCAAACTGCAAAATAATCGCTCATGAAAGAAATGATACGTGTGGTCAAAAATTAAGAAAGCCGACAACGCTGACATCAGTAAAAGCTCTAATGATGTATATATAATGATGTATATATAAAAATTACGCGCTTCTGACTAGCTTTAAGCGAGTGCAATTTTCATGTCACACGAGTGCAAAGTTGTAACACGAGTTCAAATTACAAATAGCGCGCGCGCTGTCAAAAAATCCTCTGTTTTGACTTTCTAAGATGCTTTTTCCATGCAAATTATTTACACAAAACTACACTCGAAATCATGTTATTACCGATACTAATATCGTGAACAATTTTCCTTCAGACCTGACATCGACATTCATCCTTCCTCCCCTTTTCCCATGGAGAATGATGCACAAGACAAAATGGAGAGGAGAAAAGGCAGGAAAAGTACGATATATTGGCTTGGATTGAAAATAAGATTGCGACTGCGAGCTCGTCTCGTACCTAAGTACTGTTTTTAATCGGAAGATAATGATAAAAAAAAAGAAAAGTGCCTCTAACATGTTCGAAAAAAAAATCAAGTAATCTTCAAATCATTGTGAAGTCGATCTAGTAATTAACTCTGAGTTACTTAGCCTTTTCTTTAATTTATTTATTTCCCGTGTGCGTTTGATAAAAAAAAAATGAACTACAACTCGATTTCTTCATGACGCCTTTGAAAAGTTGTTATCAGAAAAAAAAAATCAGATACGATTGTTACTGATGTTCTCATACGAAACCAACCAGCAGCATAACAATTAGCACAACTCGTTAGAAATCTGAATAAAGATTAAGGTCACCGTCAATAGAAAAGAGTGCCCTCCGGAAAAAGCCTTTGCGTTACCACGAACATCCCAACAAACTGGATTGTATCACTCAGCAGATTATAAGCTTTTCGATATTCCGATTGGTTCCCGAGAAAATCTATTTTAAAGTTGGACAAAACAAAATTGCGTTGTCACGCGCCGGGAATTCACAGGAAAAAGATATCTCAAATTCCATTAAAGCCTCACATAATTGTGTGCATTAATATCTGACAAATATCCTGGCTACGTTTCATCAAAATCCGACAAAAATACATACCCTATTAAATCGTTCAGGTTTAGGTAACTAGCGTAAAAACAAACCTCGGATTTTCGGCCCCCAAAGAAATTCCCAGTTTTAGCACCTCATTTAAGCGCGTGTCAATGCGGTCATGCCGCCAACCAATAAAAGGCAATATGGAACTCCCTTGTCGAGTGCCGTGAGAAAGAGGCTATTTAAATTCGCGGGAAAACGTATGGGTTAAACGAAGTTCAAAAAATTCATCAAGGAAAGCAATTCGTAAGGTCAGACCCTTTTTGCTTCATCAAACTGTCCTGCCGTCGATTTCTATGGCTCGGGCCTTCTGTTAGATTTGCTACAAAGTGACATCTCTTTTTGACCATTTCATGAAGACTCTTATTCTTCAATTTTTTGGGAAATGTGACAAGTTCACTTCTTTTGTACGTTTCATTGCGTGATGTAAACGAAATATGCAAATCGAGATCCACGACACAGTTCATCCCACCCCGAAGGTTTACAATGTAACCATGAAACCTTCAAAAATTATATGAACAAATGATGTTTACAATCAAGATACGTACTGAGAGGCTGAGTATGCAGGACAACATACCTCCACTAAACAATCAAGGTTGCAATTGGGCGCCGTTTCTTTCAAGATCATCATTAGGGCATCAACAGCTTCTACTGGATACTGTGATTCTTGACGCCCTAAGCAGACTGGATAGGTTATCGATGTTTCAGAGACGCCCGTCTGTTGGTTAAGACAAAAGACTTGAATACTACACGTATTACAAAAAGAATATTTGAATGTATTAGCCATAATGGATAGATGAATAGATTAGATAGAAAAGCTAATTTAACCACGATAACCGTGATCAAAAACTATAATATTTTCCACGTTTGTTCTTCCACAAACCGTGAACAACAAAAATTCGATCAAACTTCCAGAGCATTTGCGAGTTTATATTTTTATATGAAGATCTCTAATAGATAGTTACAATTTTTTTAGTCACGTGCTTTAAAAACAGCAGAAAGTTCAATATGTAAGTTCGTTGTCAATAGCTTAATGGCGCAGCCAGATAAGGAACTTTACCGTAAATTTGGTCAAGGCCGGTTGCTTTGTTGACATCTCGGTGACAGTTTGACAGTACAGTAAAGAAATAAAGACCCTAAACGGTTTAATTTCAGTTCATTAAAACGAGGACGGCTCGTGTTCCATTCCTCTTATAAATTTATGGATGACCTGGAAAGGTCTGTATAAACACCTGGACCAATTTAGGTAAAACAATTATCGAACCCATCGGCAATGTCTTTGGTATTTTTAACGCTAGCATTTCTAAAAACTGGATTTCTAGATCCAAACGTCTTGTATAATTCATGCAGCTTCGAATGTAAGTGCAAACACCACCACCACCTCGATTTCTATCAAGGCTAATCATATTGTAACCCTGAAAGTGTAAATTAGATTGTACAGCCTAATTTAGGGTCAGAAGTTCAAAAGTTCATGAAAGCTAGTTCGTTAATGGACCGATAAAGGCTTACGATATTATGGGAACAGGTTTTAAAACCCTCAGCATATATATCTATGGAGGTGCTAAAAAGCCGTTTCTATTAGATAGATACGGCTGAAGAAGAAGTAACAAAATCCGAAATTTTAATCTAGCGATCCGAATGAATTTAAATTTAATTTCCTAAATTACTCACCACGTTATAGAAAACTTGCCAGCCTTAATAAAAGCCTATACCTTGTTGATGCAGCTGGAATCTGAGTTTCCATTTGAAAGGCAAGTCTTCCATTTAAATTACAGTAGGAACGAACCGATTTATTTTCACTTAACGATCCAAATCATATTTCCTTACTATAAAGCTTGACGCCCCTTCTTTCGTCAAGAGAGTTTCGTGTTCATCACGACGCTTTATCTAAACATCTACAATTGATCTGCACGTAAGGGGGGTGGAGAACTAAGGATGATATAGTTTATATACAATGTCTGCGTCCTTTACCCAATATCGTAAGGAAAAAAGACAAGTGTCAAATCTTTACAACAGTTTTGTTTATATTAATCTTAATCACCGCTTTTCATCTATCCTCGCCTGAGATAAACTGCTATAGGGGTTGATTTTTTGTCTTACCCTTTTACAGTCTGTAATCAATTTGATCTCGTCTGGGGTTAATTGAATAAAACCTCTCGTTACTTCTTTCCCCAACTCAAACATTGCTCTTTTCGCCTCTTCCATTTTTTCGTAGGCAGCCTTAAAAAAAGAGAAACAGAACAAAACAATACAAAAATTAAACACTTGTGAAAATGGCAATTACTGTACTATAGCGTGATGAAATCCTAGTAATACATTTATCGCCGTAAACCACGACAAAATCTACACATTCCACCACCACCTAAACGAGCAGAGCACAGACAAACAGTAAACAGACAAGTCGAAGAAAACCAACACGTATCACCGTACACCAGACAAGTCATCTTACAACCCGACATCACACAAAGTCGTTACTATCATGCACCCAGGGCTCTAAAAAGTGCGCCTGGTTTGCAACTCGACAGACAGCCTATTCAAAGAAAACAAAAACTTTGACTGTGTTTTTCCGAAAAAGAGCAACAATTGGATCCGGCGAAACACTTAGCAACGACAACTCCTACGACCACAATGACTAGACCGTACATGGAGGGCATGTCTGAAACCATCTCGCGCATGCTGTAACCGTTCAATATCCAGCTCGCCCACAAAACGATCGTTATTACACTACGTAAGTTACAAAAGACAGGGTTGGTTTATAACAAACTTCAATACAAGACAGACTGAGCACGAACAAGCGACGAGAAATGGTAAAGATAAAAATCACAACGCTTAAATTCATCGAGTAACGAACCCCGCTATTGACTGTGACTCTGCCAAATGCTTAACCTACAGCTCTAACTATTCTCAACGACTGACTGTGTAAAGCTAGTTCACTAATTTGGAGCAGACTACCCTCGACAGAAGTCAACAACTACCAGCACCAATAAATTGACTTATTCAAGACATTTGCTCCGCCACGGAACCGAAAAGAATGACTTTGCAGTCCTAACAATTACGACCGACTTATCGAGGCTAAACTGACTGAACATTATGCAAGGACTGGAACTATAACAGTCGACTGACAGCAACTCTTCACTTGACTCTGATGGTGGCCATCCACTCAGATTGTCGACTCGAAAAAAGCACAACTAAAGTATGTTTTTTTATAGGAAGCCGATGCCCACCGTCTCATTCAAAAGGTTATCTCCCAATTTTGAAACGACTTTGGAACTAATTATTGATACCGCGAACGAGGTATCATGGGTGTTTGCTTATTCTTAATATCAAGATATACCTCAAAAATAAGACAAAGAAGTCTGGGGCAATAGATGTCGATCTCTATCTGCTTTTCAAACGAGTACGATTTCTCCATTTTTTCGAGTGTATCCATTCTCGTTTCGTCGAAGAAAGTAGCGAAATCCTCTTCCGCCTTTGACTGTCTGTTCTTACTAAGCGTATCCTCCACGTTTGACTGATTTTGCTTTACTCTTCTCTCACTGAGAGCGGCAACTCTGCAAGGTAATTAGAGACCATTCAGTGCTAAGATGATAGACACATCGTCATCGTCAAACAAAAGTTGACAGAAAAAATGATTAGGGAAATTTTTTGAAAATAGCTTCTGAGGATTTTTTTTTTAAATGCAGTTAGTCACTTTCAGAGGTTGAAGTCACGTTTGTATATTTAATCCTAGGCGAATTGTAGATGCTTCATGCAACACCGTTTCGATAAAATAACAAAACGCATATGTACATCATACAAAGGTTCTATACATCTAACCTGATTTAATTATATATAGTACACCTCATTTAATGTAAATATCCTCGACTTGAGATATCTTGGGATTTTAGCATTTAACTTGTATGTGCAACCCAATGAAGGCCGAAAATCGAAACGTCACGAGTTAAACTCTGGAAACAGCAGCAAGCAGTTTATAGTCATTTCACACTTTCTGATCATGTACAATCGTATGTGTGTGTGTCTTTGTACATTACTACTTCAAGGACGAGGATTTTTTAACGCAAGGCAGCGATCTTTAGACTTTTTCTTTTCTGTGCAGGTAGAGGAAAACGTTGAACTTTGCTCTCGGACCTTCGTCAATCCGCAGCTTGTGGTTTGACAAATGTTTTTCTTTTCAGTTTATCTCATGTATCGTTCACAGAGTACACTATGTTGCGTAATCAAGAACACTCATCACTATTGGAATTTTACTAGTATGATTAAATCTATTTAAAGGGGGGGGGGGGAAATAGATGACCCATATTCCGAAAGCATTGTTGAGTAAACCAGAGGGATCCAATCCTTAGTATCTTTTGCATTAATGGAGGTAAGCTTGTTGCCGGTAATCGTATATTCTCATGGGGTATATAAGAGCCTTTACATACTTCTGTGCTGGAACCTGTTTCCTTCACCCAAAGGCTAGTTTACGAGGTGAAGGACGATCAATAAGGAAGAAAATTCGTAAGCTTGTCTGTTAAGTTACATGTTGGATGGACAATCATTTAAACGTCATGAAATAAGACGTTATTATTTTTCATTGTATTCGACCCTTTTTGATCATTAAAAGAACATTTTTATTCTATTTTGATGATCATTAGAGTAAATTACATTCAGTGAAAAAATATAAGGAAAAGCCACGAACAGAGTTTTGAACATCCTATGTCTGGAGAATTGAAAAGATTGCCGATGCGGTAAAATCATGAAAAAAAAAAACTAAACTAATATATCATTGTTATTCTGCATAACGCCTAGTTCAAAACAGCGTTATAAAATGTTTGGCGCTAGCAGTCAGCGAGATGATTTTCCTGCTGCTCGTATATTTTACTGACGTTTCCTCTCATCGTTCTTCTTACCTGAACAACAATTCCAACATTACAGAAAGAAAAATTTTTGTGCTGATTTACAAACTAAAATAGACACGCACTTGCATCTAAAAAGTAAGTTGTACTCCGCCTTTATTCATCAATCGAGAAATATGCAGCAAATTTTTATGCCGCCCTTGGGGTGGCGTGTTATGTATCACTTTCATAGTCATACTTTCAGAGTTATTGTAAAAATTCGAAGATGGTATACATCACTAGATGTAGTTATGTCACATTTAAATCATTTATTTCATGATGCAACATTTAAATGAACAGAGTACTCTGTGATAAATAAAACCTTAGACATCTCCGCCTCAAAAACAATACTGTCCAGCTGAGTTTAAGGGGAACAAAGAGAGGAGTTAACATAAATATTTTTTGTTGCCTTGCTGTATCTGCACACTAACAGTCCTTACTTAACGACCAAAGTTTCTTTGAGTTAGAATTAATCTAGAAGACATCAACCGCGGTCTATCGCTAAAGGAAACAAACTAAAAAAAAGGTATTCAGTGTTTTGACACTACGTATGTATTGTAATACGAGAGGTTACCCGATGAGGCTCGATGTTTTGGAACTTCCAGTGTTCCCCAAGGCCCTGATCTGCCCCTGTTGATCTTCGATGGTTATCTCCGATGTTTTGATTCTGTAAAAAGGGATGAGAACAATAAATGCTTTCCTCCATGAAAAACTATGGGTAAAAAAACAAAATTCATTTTGGACTTCTATTTTCTCCATTCATGTTAAACGGAACACAAGAAAGTTGGACAGAATGAAAAAGGGAAAAGAAAAATGAACCACGCATGGATTTTTAAATGTAATTAGTGTAATGTTCAAAAACATGTCTCGAAAGTTCTTCTGTCATCCTCAGTTCTGAGTAATACAAAGTACAAAGTTGAATTTAAAGTGTTGCTATAATAGTAGAATAATGTATGCATTTACAAGGAAAGTTTTAAATTACTATGGTAAAGTTGGTGATTAAGTGTAGGTTTCTCCCATTGAATGTGGATAGCTTCTTTGATTTTAAGTTGAAAAGTTGTGAAAGCGTGATCTAAGATGGTAAAACACTAATCAGAAAAAAGAGTGCGACATTGTGGAGAATTATACGGAAGCCGAAAAGGGAAAATCCAAAATTATTTTGCAAATCTGAAAAAATATTTAGAATCGATATCTTTTAGACAAAACGCTTTGAAAAAGTTTTTGAAATCGAGAAAACAACTTTAAATCTTGATTCAATTCACAGATCTACAAATAATGAAAATCAGAAATAGTTAACAATCCAAGAATCTCTCCAAAATCCTAAAAATTTTGCGAACCGAGAAAAATATATTGTCACGAGACACTTGCGCGAGTAGTCAGCACTTTGTCACAACACGACACATCGTGTCACTCTAGGTTGCACGAAGTCGAATTGGAGTCACTAGGCGAACGGACTAAATTGTACCAAGTTTATTGCAATGTTCTTCCACAAATGTGGAAAGGAATTTAAGTAACGCTACGTTCTTAATGCTGTTTCGTATTCCCAAATCGTCAGATAAATGTCCAGTTTCATCATTTAACTCGTATTTCCTATGTTATTTGTATTTCATGTGTTATTCCTATGTTATTTCGAATGATGTAATTAGTTGTTCCGTTCTTAATTTATTACGTTAATAACATTTAGTTTAAAACCACTGGCAATGACATTTATTGTTTGGAGTTCAAGTCGTCCAGAATTTAACTTCTCTACGTCCTAAAATTATAGCTGGTGCATTGATTATAATAGTGATGGTAGTGTTAATGGGGTATTAGTTATGGTGGTGATAATAATGGTGATAGTAGTGTTGATAATGAAAGTGGTAGTAGAAAAGGAGATAGTAGTAATAGTGATAGAAGTAGTGATAGCAGTAGTGGTGGTAGAAGTGGTGGTAATAGTATTGGTGGTAAAAATAGTGGTGATAGTAGTAGTGGTGCTAGTTGTAGAGGTGGTAATAGACGTGATGGCAGTAGTAGTGGTGGTGGAAGTAATGATGCTCGTAATAGTGGTGGTAGTGAAAGTGGTGATAGTAGTAAAGATCGTAATAGTGATGCTGATAATAGCAGACAAGGCAATGGCGGTGCTTCTAGTATAAGTGACAGTGATAGAGGTGGTTGTGTTGTTCGTAATAGTAGTTGTATTAATAGTAGTATTATTGATGGCGGTGGTAAAAGTGGTGGAGGTGTCAGTAGTGGTGGTAATGGCAGTGGTGTTAGCTTTTGTGTTGGTGGTGGTACTGAAAATAGTAATTGTGAAAGTAGTAGTGTTAGTAGTAGTTGTGATAGTAATGGTGATGCTGGTAGTTGAGGTGTAAGTTAAGGTGTTAATAGTAGAAGTGGTAGTAGTGGTGGTGGTAAAAGTAGTGGTGGTAATTACAAGGATCGTAATAGTGGTGCTTAGAGTAGTAGACATGGTAGTAGTGGCGCTAGTAGTAATAATGATAGTAGTAAAGGTTGAAAGTAGTGTTCATGGTAGTAGTGAGGGTAGTAATGGCGATGCCAAAAGTGGTGGAGGTAGTAACAGTGGTGGTAGCATTGGTGGTGGTAGTAGTGCTGATAATAGTGCCGGTGATAGTAGTTGTAGCGGTGGTAGTAGTTGTGGTGGTAGTAGTACTGATTATAGTGGTTGTGATAGTAGTAATGGTGGTAGTAGTTGAAGAAGTGGTGGTGTTGGTGGTACTAATGGTGGTGGTAGCAGTAGTGATGGTGGTAGTAGTGATGGTACTAGTGGTGATGATATTACTGGAGGTGGTTGTAGTGGTGGCAGTAGAATAGGTGGTAGATGTGGTGGTGGTAGAAGTAGAGGAGGTAGTGACAATGATAGTAGTAGTAGCAATAGTAGTAGTGGTGCTAGTGGTGTGGGTGGTACTAATGGTGATAGTAGTACTGGTAGTAGTATTAGGGGTAGGAGTAGTGGCGGCAGTGGTAGTAAGGATATTGCAAGTGGGGTTAGTAGCAGTCGTGGTAATGGTAGAAGTAATGGCGATAGCAGCGGTGGTGAGAGTAGTAGTTATTTAATTAGAAGTCGCTGTAGTGGTAAAGGCGGTGTAATGGCAGTAGAAGAATAGATGGTAGTATTAGTTATGGTAGTAGTAAAAGCAGTGATACTAGCAGTAGTGATGGTAGTTGTGGTAATAGTTGCAGTGGTCATAATAGCAGTCGTGGCATTAGTGGTGTTAATGGTAGTGTTGGTAATAATATTGGTTATAGTTGTAGGGGTACAACTTAAAGTGGTTGTGGCCATAGTGGTGCTAGTAGAAGAGGTGGTAGTAGTAGACGTAGTATTGGTAATAGTAGCGATGATGATAATGGATGTGGTAGTAGTATCGATGTTATTAGTGATTTGTAATGGTAGTAGTGGTGGTGGTAGTAATAGCAGTGGTATAAGGTATGTTGTAGTGGTGGTGTTGGCTGTAATGGGGTGACAGTGGTATTGCAGTGGTGCGGTAGTGGAGGTAGTAGTGGTGGCAGTAGTGGTGGTGTTATTAGTGATGGTGTTAGTATTGGTGATGGTAGTAGCAGAGGTGGTAGTAGCGGTAGTAGTGGTAATGGTAATAGTGGTGGTGATGGTAAGTGTGGTGATCGTAGTGGTAGTGGTGATAGTAGTAGTGGTAATAGCGGTGGGGGTTATGGTAGTGGCGGTTGTAGTAGTAGTGGTGGTTGTGGTAGCAGTAGTGGTGGTGGTAATAGTAGCAGCAGTAGTATTAGTGGTGGTATGAGTAGTGCTCAACATCTTTTGGTTCTATTTTTGAATAATGGCATTTCCAAAACACCTGAGTGTTCAACAGATTGGTAATTAAACTGCGAAATGAACGCAAAGGTAGAGAACAAAGGTAAAATATGATGTCATCAGACACATCAAGATTGATGTTTATCGTGGAGTACAAACCTCCATGAGTCCAGGTATCTATTGTGTGTAATAAAAACTATAAGAGGAAAATGGTTGACAATTTGTTATCATTACATAAACATTAACTTGAAGTCTCGTAACCCGGATAAACACTATTTTGTGATGTGTTTTCGGAGATCGATGTAAAGTTAATTACAAGGAGAGTTATTCGAATTTGTTGGAAATTTTTGGGCAGATCAAGCTTAGAAAAACTTTTAAGATTTTTCGCTCCTCTTGGAATTTGATTTAGTCATTTTCCGAGTTGTTTGCAGTGAATCGCTTTTCATAATGAGCTATGTCGTCGTTCGAGACTTAGAGATTTTAAGGGATTGAAGTCTGTATTCTAATTATGCCAGTGAAGGTGCATATCAAGTTTGTAGCGGTATCGTAGTGCCTTGTTCGGAATGTAGCCTATTTCTAGGACAAAACTGTGTATTTGGATTGGGAAAACATCACAAAAACTTCAGATAATGAAAGAAAATCGTAGAGTATCCCAAAGATTAAGGATGCAATAACTAATTCTAATCAAATGAGAGTTTTAAATCGCGCCATAATACGGCGACGTGAAAAAGATCACGTTACCTAAAATCACATGAGTTAAAAAGAGGTTTACAACATGACATGTAAACCAACATCTGTCATTTACGTACCCACCAACAAGCGCTGATTGGTTCTTTTGCATAAGATTTCAAGTTTCCCACTCTGTTGCTTAAGGGTAGCTGGGAAAACCTTTGGTTCTCCTGGCGCACCCAACGCCCCATTAAACAAAATTATCCTGAAGTAATTTACCTCGGTAAAACTCGGTCTCATCCCAGTTGCCTTGTGCCAAATTTCTACATTTTACTGCGAATTCTTTTGATGCTTTGTCTGCTTTAGTAATGGCCTTTTAATTTGATAAATTCCAACCAAAGGGTCCCCAACAACCTGGCCTACCATTTTTTGTTCTTCCGTTCGTTTCTAAAACAATATTTTGAAGGTTAAATGTTTGTTACAAGAAATAACTGTCTTGCGTATTACCGCAAACCGACATAATACAAAAGATAACCGAATACAATCTTTATAAATGTAATAGTCCTGTAAAGCTGTACAAAAAATTTGTAAATGAATGAATAAAACCTCTAAAAATCTAACATGAACTGAGGTAAAAATATTTTACAGTTTCCAGTAAGGAATTATGGATCTGAATAACACCGGCGATGTGTGATTTATTTGCGAAACGCACCCGCTAATTTTGTCATAAGGGCATAACCCAAACGCTCAAAAGCAACTTTCGGGTATATTAAAAATAAAACTCTATCATGTAAGCTGTAAAATAAAATGAGAGAGTGGGAAAACATACAGTAAGTGGCCGCAATCACTGCCTTTATTTGACGTAACATGTAAGCTGTAAGTACCATCAAAAACACTTGCAACTGATCATTGTTACCTCTGATAGCACTAATTCTGTAGGGGAAAAGGCTACTTTCCCGCCTTTGTTTCAAGAATATGTTCTCCTGACAACTTAAAGCGACGCCAGCATTTAATTCGTAGTAGAAGGAAGCTTAAATCCTTCCCACCCCTCCCCCATAATTTGCATCCACCACGAGTCGTTGACTTGCAAATGTAAAATAGTAGAATTAACGAGTCTGTAAAACGTTACACAAAACGGTTGTAAGATTAATAACTTCATGTGAAACAAATTAAGAGCGTTTTAGGGGTAAAAGTATTCGTAGATTAAACGGAACATGTCAAATTCAAAGGTAGCAATGGGAGCATCTGTTTGTATCTGACTAACATCTAGCAGCATGAACTTTATCGATGCATCAGTCAGACCCTCGACATTGATCAGCAAACTTTTGATGAAATGAAAATTTAAGTTAAGAACATTCACGTTTTCTACCTGGCTGTCTCCGGTGTTTCTGTTTTGACGTACTTTGCCTCAAGAGTATGCTGCATTTCGATCAGGCATTGGGCCTCTCGATTGTCTCTAAGCACAGCGATTACCTGCCTTACAAATTTGCCTGAGAGTCCTCCTTTGTTGCTTGATCTCCAAACTAAGCAGGCTGATAGTGTGCCATTTCTGTTTTCACTACTAATCTTACCAGCTTATTTCGCCTCAAGAAAAAAACAATGAAAAACTGCTGTCGATTTGCACTGCTTATTTTGTTTCAATTCGCATTTCTAGGAAAGACCGGAAATAAGTCATGTGACATCATGTGATATCATAATTTTATGCCGAAGCGCTTCTGAGTAATACCAGGTAAGTTTGGTAGAAGGAAGAGGTGATTGTCGCAAAAAATAAAGGGTTTTGGGAGCTAGGTTTTAGTTGTGCTTTATTATTCTATATTCTCCAGTTTATTCGTTTATTTCGATGAATTTATATATTAGTTTGCGAAAACAGCTTTAAGTATAGTGTTGCCCTGATATCAGATTATTTCCCAAGAACAAAAGGGCTCTTTTCTTCTTGCCTTCATCAATCTTTATTCCAATGGTTAGTCTCTCGAATCGTCCTGGCCATTTCTCTCATCTCGGGTCTGCATCCCATCGAGGTGAACTTCAAACTGTGTGAAGTTTTGTAGAGAGATCGCCATAATGTTTTGATTGCGCAGGAAAAATTACTTCGGAAATCTCTTTGGAAATCGCTTCTAAAATCCCTTCAGATCCTTTTAGAACACGCTCTCTGGGTTTTATGCTTGATCCTCGTCACCAGATTTGGTGTTTATGCTCAAATAAATACTGAAACTTCTGATATCATCGCAACGATATTTAATCAACATACATATAAAATCCGACTACAGAAGACTCCTTTCTTTCTTGACCCTTGCGGTCGAATACACCACACCTATTGTATTAGGGCCTATATCTATAATTTTTCCCATTTGGTTTGACGATAAGGCACGCAATGATCAAGCAACCGAGCTATCTTTACTTAAAAAATTCATGTTTTTCATGAACACAAAAATTCTAAACCTTCAGAATCAAAAACGGACGATTGTGTGTCAGTAACGAGCCACTTCTTTGCGAAATCTTGAATTACAACATAATGGCTCTCACTACTTATTGATTAAAGAGACTTTTCTTGCACTGTCTTTTTGTGCAAGTAGATAATGAACAAGCAGACAGAAAAATTCTGTACATGATTACTTCCGGAACAGTGCGACCGGAACCGGAAACAGTTTAAAATTTCCGACAAAAGGAATTCTAGGAAAAAGGGGAAATGAAAAATTTATGGTAAAGCACATAAGCATTTTCTTTAGGGTGAACGACGCGTACTATCCAACATAAAGATTCTTCATCATTTAAGGAACTATTAGCTTGAAAGCGGCATGAGTGGTACGTATCAAAATCCTTATTTAAGTTATAAAAGTACAGACATTTACTATTCGAGCGAAACAAATTTTATAAATCATGCAACAGAAAGCGTTACTACAGGTTAACAAGTGAACACTTCTTAGAATTACAACTGGGTCCAACTCTTCAAAGCATTCGATTATTGTAAGTTGTTCCTACTTCGTTACAAATATGTATTAATTATTGCTTACAAGAATCATCGAAAAAGACGTAAAAGATACAGGAGTTTGAAATGAGGATAGGATAAACATATTAGCCCGGAAGTTAATTACTTTCGGTTTCTGCAATCGAACGCATCGACTGTTGATGAAAGATCATACAAACTGGCCTGTTCACCTTCGAACTTGAAGAAAATATGCCATTGGATACTATGTAAAAGAACTGATACACGGACTAAGAAGCAAGTAAAATTCGTCAAGAGGGATTTTGTTATCATCAAACAAGCGCGAAACCATGATCCTCCTCTCCGACGCCAAACGTATGAGTAAATGAACTAAACAAAGAATTACAAGAAGAAGGAGTTTGCTCAGTTTGGAGAGCATTATTCCCCGATTAGGGGGGAAGCCTGGAAATCTTCTCTGTTAATCAACAGATTTTCTCAAAATGAATACTATAATACGCAGTTTTTTGGCCTCAAGAAAGAAAATGCATGTCTCTATTCTTCGGCATGATATAATTATTGACATTAATTTCTCTCGTAGATGTTCTTGTATCATTTTTTCGAATTATCTAAGCACCCACACCCGTCATTTTCTCTGCATAGAGGCGAGATCCAGCTGTTTTACTCTCAGCCTACCTTTCAACCTAAATAAAGCCACTTATCAATTAGGGTCATGCATGCCGTTCGTGTTTTCCAGTGTATATTATATTCGCTTTTCTTAAGCTCATCCTTGCTCTTCAGCGTCTGAAGGTTTGTTGTTCGCTACAAGTTCATCATACATAGCCGTGGTTGCTATTGATTTTGGGACCACATACAGTGGTTTTGCTTTTGCTTTCAACCACAAGAAGGGAGAAGGAGGCATTCATATGAACAGAGCCTGGGGACATGACCAGGGAACTGCTACCCTTAAAACACCTACCTCTCTGCTTCTTCACCCTGATGGTAGCTTTGATTCATTCGGATACGAAGCGGAAGAAAAGTACGCCAACTTCTTTAATGGTGAAGATCGAGATTATCTTTACTTCAAACATTTCAAAATGGCACTACACAAGTCAGAGGTACAGTTCATTCATTCGTCTTTTTTTTTCTTCCTTTTTTTTTTTTTGCCACGCCTGAAGCGAAACTTCCATAGACGGACTGTCTATCACTAACTCTAATCTTGAAATCAACTCGAAACACCTATAAAACTAATTCATAACGAATAGTCATAGGAGGAAGTAAAAGGTTAAATTACTGCTGATTGTCTCGACAAACACCGTAAAAAGAACAAGCATGGGAGTATGCGGTTGCTGAAGAGGAGCCGAGAGAAAAAATTGAAAGCAATAACTGAAAACAATAGCACTTCATTGCAAAATGGTCATAACAAACCAAGTTAACAGTGCTCTTGATTTCATCAGATCTGTAATCTTTACATAACATCTACATCTAAGTTTGATAAGAAAAAACAGATCACGAGATTTTTTAATTCATATTAAATGATAATTGCATGAAAAACTAAAAGGGTCTCTCAGGGTCCTCAAAACTAAACTAGATAGTACGCATCGTTTTGGGTTTTGTATAAGTTCTCCGCTGAAGTTAATTCGCATCAAAAGTATTAGACATAATCTTTGTAAATTTGTCTTCTCCTATTACAGACATTAGACAGAAATACAAAGCTGACAGCTCGAAATGGAAAAAAAATTGATGCTTTGGTTGTTTTTGCCCACTCATTGAGGTATCTCAAAGATCGAGCTATCGAAATCATTCGCGAGAGAACTGGAGACGAAAAGTATAATGAAAAGGACATTCGGTGGGTCATAACAGTGCCTGCCATTTGGAGACCCGCTGCCAAGCAATTCATGAGAGAAGCTGCATGTAAGGTAATTGTAGAGAAGTTAAATTTGTTTGTCCCCCCCCCCCCACGCCCTTACGATGAGTTAAGAGGTGAAAATGAAATAAGGAAAGGAAATACAGGAGGAGCTAGAATACAGGTCACTCTGATGTTGTCAGTTACTAAACATGAATGTGTTATCACAAATGTGAAAGTTTTGTTTTTTCCTCGCAAAAAGCGAGAAATTTAAGTTTGAGATTAATCAATGTTGTTTAAACGAAACGTTTTTGTCTTCAATAACTGACTTTTTTTGCTTCTACTTTGGAAGGCGGAGATGGTATCAAATAAGAACCCTGAACAGCTGCTTATTGCCTTGGAACCAGAAGCAGCCTCTATACACTGCAGAGAAATGAAGATGAGAGAATTCGCCAATGAGAAAGGAGATGCCACTGTGTCTGACGTCTTTGCTCGACCTGGGTCAAAATACCTTGTTATTGATATCGGAGGTAAGACTGAACTTTTAGAAAAATGGACCGTTTTGACCATGTCACGCTACAAAGTATCAAAACCTTTTCTTATTTTTTAATTTGGAAATAGTAATGTCTCCTCTAAATCATTTAAAAGCTTCCATGTGTTTGTGAAGACGCAAGGTTTTTTTTTAATATGAGGCAAATTTGTAATGGTAATTGAACTAAGTGGAGTGGTGGGACATCGTCGTAACTCGTTTGATACTGACCAAAGCAAATAGGCTAATAGCTTGTGATGATAACCTTTCTCAAACGGAGTCAAATAAAAACGACGCTGAAATTTCAAAAAATTTGAAAAATTCGTCGGCTAGGAACGGATCATTTTATAGTCAATAATCTAGAAGGCTGTTGAATTCGCAGGTAAGCGACAATGTTAATTATACAAGGTTTTAACTATCAAAAATAGAAACAAGCAAGCAGCCATGGACAGTTGTTTTAGCTTTAATGGGCTTCATTAGCTTCAAGCTTTATCAGCACAAATATACTAAATGTGATCGATCGAACTCGTAATGCGTTTTATGTTTGACTCGTGCAATATGAATGCAGGGGCTGAAGCTGTAAATTAATTGGTGTTACATCTGTTACTCCTTGATAAAGGCGGGACTCTTGACGTCACAGCTCATGAAATCTTAATGAATGGAAACATTAAAGAAATCTATCAGGTGACAGGAGGACCTTATGGTGGAACCAAAGTTGACGAGGAGTTCATGTCCCTACTTGAGAGGTTTTTTGGAACTTATCAGGTGAAAAGCTTCCGTGAAAACCACCCAGCAGAATGGCTGGAGATGATGAATGAATTTGAGATGAAGAAGCGAGGGCGCCGAGCTTACGAGGGTGAAACAACCAGAATTCGCCTTCCTCGTACCTTTACTGCACTGGTTTCAGAGCAAGGTGGGCCTGATCTGGCGAGACGATTTGCAAGTTCTTGTACAACTGATGATGTCCAATTCGTCAGAAATGAATACTTCTGTATAGGACCAGCGACCATGAAAAAATTGTTTGAACCGGTTCTGAAAGGAATAGTGAAGCACCTGAACAATCTTCTTAAGCATCGTGAGCTCCGTGGGCTGCAATTTTTCTTTCTTGTTGGAGGTTTCGCCGAGTCAGCGATACTTCAGGATGCAATAAAGAAAAACTTTCAGCGGAGGTAAGGTAAATTTAACGTAAACGTGTGAATGGGTTGAAGTTTGGGTCAGAAGAATCCTAAGTTAGGTCGCATTATCTGAACCAAACGCACTGAGATGTGTTTCGACGTCCGAAGATTTTCGGCACGAAGGGTCGTAGTCAAAGTATGCAGTTGCAAGTTATTCTAAGATTCATCAAATCAAAAGGGCAGTTTTGCAATCAAAAGGGATAAGAAGCATGCCTAAAGAACAATTGACCTCCCATGTAAACATCACATGTAAAATGACTGTCATCTTTGATATTTTTTCTCTAATCACAGATGCAGAATTTTAGTTCCAAGCAATGCTAGCATTGCAGTTGTTCAAGGTGCAGTTATGTTTGGCCAAACACCTGACATTGTCGACTCTAGAATAATGTCTACGACTTACGGCTTCGATACGTACCGCCGGTTTAACCCCAGTCTTCACCCAATTGACAAGCAGCGCTTTGTTGACGGTGTAGCCTACTGCAAAGATTGCTTTGTGGTTCTTGTTAAAGAGAATGACATTGTGAGGACAGGTGAAAAGAAAGTCTTCGCTGATTACAGCCCATTGGAAGGAAGTCAAACAGCAGTTAGGTTCAGTTTTTTCACCTCCACCAATCCTGACGCCAAATACTCAACAGACGCTTCAGTTAGCAAGTCCATAGGGGAGGTTGTCGTCAAATCACCTGACGTTACAAAAGGAACCAGCCGAATGATTGACCTGGCGATAGAGTTTGGCGGAACTGAGATTAAAGCCACTGCAATAGACAAGAGCAGTGGGAACACTGCCACGGTGTATCTTGACTTCCTGTGCAATAAGGATTAAAAATCACCGAAAATCACCTGAGAAGATATGAAGTCCACGAGTGAATGTATGCGATAAACCTGTCTGCGTTTTAGGGACAATATTTTCGTATGTTATCATTGTATCGCGTAGAACTGATTTATCCCTAAAGTTTTTGTAAACCTCTATTTTAGTCTCCGTGTGTATGGAGTCCATCATGAACAACTCCAGCATATCGAAGCTAAACCTGACGTTATGAAACATCTTTGAACTTCGTTATATAACTGAAATACTAGACTCAGACCGGACCGGACCTACGACCTAAGACCTAGGACCGGCCCTAGGACCAGGAAAGTGTCAAGATATCCACTAATAACAAATTCTTGAATTCATGGAAAGTCCAGTTTTGACGCTTTCTTTTAACGAAGTGTAATATTAAATAATTGTATGTTGCATTTCTTTTGCCGAGTACTTTACTTGTCAACTACAAGATACCTCAACAGTCAGAACGGAAAATCCTTTTTGAAAGCCGTTTTTTCCAAAAAAATCCAATAGGAAAGCAATTTTTACTTCCTCTTGGCACCCTTTGTGCTCCTATTTCTCGCGAGCATTAAATAAATTATCACTGTCACTACATGCGACATGTATATTTGGATCAAAGATCTGCAGTCTTGATATACTTTGATACTCGCACAATTTTATGACATAGGAATAATTTCCATTCACCTTCAGTTCCTCGATACAGAACTAGAATCCTAATTTCGTGCTTTTGGCCCTTAGGAACATGATACAGAGAGACCATGGAGGCCTTCCTTTATTTTTGTATTTATTTACCAATTACTAGTTTTTTTTTTTTGTATGTATGTATGTATGTATGTATGTATGTATGTATGTATGTATGTATGTATGTATGTATGTATGTATGTATGTATGTATGTATGTATGTATATATATATATTTAGTTTTTTTTATATATTTGTTTCTCTTGTTTGTCCTTTGTCTGTTGGTATGATTTATTTTGAGATATATTCCTGTCTGAAATGGGGATACAATTCTTCTCCTCGGTCTCCGAGCATCTGCAACCCACAGCCTCTGTGGTAAAGAGCACTTTTGGCCGTGCGCACCTACCTTGCTGGGTTCAAACGATGGAAACGATGAGCTTGGTCAAATTATGTTTGCCATTTTCCTGTCAATCCCTTTTAGGTCGCAGTTTCAATGAACCTAAAATTCGACTCTAATTCTAAACATCTGCGGCACTGATTGCGCGCTACAGATGGGTGTTCTATCAAAAATGTCTACACACCCTCATGTTTCTTTAATGGTTAATGCATCCCAGATAATTTTGTGTAAGCCAAAGGTCAAAAAAGATCCCGTGACCCCTGAGAGCCTTACAAGCGCTCGAGGAATCAAAGATAATAGATAAGTTTCCGGCCCTTTCTGATCTCAGATCAGTCGCTCTCAGCCTAATTGGTTACGTAGGTTTCTCTGTTTTAGTGACTTAAGTCATATTAAGGCCTGCGATATGAATTTTTCCTCTCGTACGTTTCTATTTTCTTAGAATCTTCCGGGACGGACTAACTCCGAGTTGGGACGTGCATCATTATCGCAAGGCTTGTCTTGTCAAGGCTTTGGAGGACTACATATCAGTTTCAAAACTGACCTCTATGAAGATTTACCATTGTTTAGAGCCCTTGCTACTACTCGCTCCTAACAGGAAGTACGGAGAGGGGGATTAGTTACTCAAGAGCCAGAAGAATTATAAATAATGCTTTCAGAGAACTCACAAACGCTTCTAAAATTATTATCCATAGCCTTAGAGCTAAAAGAGACAGCTTTGCAGCTAATGCTGGAGTTCGGCTTTCTAAGTGACACGGTCGTTGGGCCAGCGAAAACGCTGAGGATTGCTATGACAAAGACAATTGCGGTGGGTTGTTTTTGTCCTGTGGTTACTCGTTGGTCCTCCCAGGCCTAAGTTCTGTTTTTCGTAGACCACTTTTGTTATATGCGCGATTTATAGTTGCTATATTAGTTTCATTCAATTAACATGCCGTGGGGCCTCCAGTGAGCACGTGATAGCGTATATGTTATGTTTTTTCTGCTGTTGTCACGCACGGCTATGGTGGTGTCAGGGAATGTAGAAGTGAGCTGATATTCTTGTTGTGATCTGAAGATGCATTTGAATCATAATTATTTTGTTTTTATTATCAAGTATTAAAGAGGTTTTAATTTAAATTAACTTCATTCAGTTTGCTTTGAAAAAGCCAAAGATATGATACTTTTCTTAATGGAAATTAGAGAAAGCAGCAATTGGAACAAAATTTTACAAATTTCTTCCCAAAATTCCTCCCGAGATTGCACTTAGTTAACTTTGTCCGTAAACTCAGCCCTCTTTCTGCATGTAAGTTCCCCGCCAAGCCTCAGTCACAACTATTGGGCAAGAGTAACCTGGTAATCTATTAGCATTTAAGTGAGGCTGATAAATTGGATGTAAATAACTGAGCACTTTTCTGCTAAAATAAAAGTCCATTCATGTTCACATGGAGGACTAGGCTATTTCAAAAACAAAAGAAATATCGGATTTCCTGCTTCAATTATTATAACTCTTCACTCTACTAATAACCTGTAAGAAAACTGCTCCTACACTTCCTGAGCAAGATCTAGAATAATATAATCAAACCCAACGTTTTAAAGCAAATTCTTCCTGCAAGGTAAGATCACGTATTACGGTTACATTCTCCACTAAAAATTTAATTCGTTCGTCGTGTCAGAGGAGCTTTAAAACTTTACGCAAAAAACACTCTCATTGACATTTTAAAATAATTTTGAATAAAGTACAGCGCTGCCTTTTTTCCATCCAATAAATATTTGGAGGGTAAGAAATAGAAGCCCCGTTTTTCCGCCAATCAGTGTCAAATATTTACCCTTGATACACCAATTTCAATTCAGCTTTTATATCGCCTCAGCTTCCACTTTACAAAGGACTTCTCCAGGTCGAATGACTCGTCCTCCTCCGTCTAAGAGTACAGGCCACAAATAGCATGCAATCTCATCACCGGCCGAACGAGCGGTGATTTGATTTCTCATTTGGAGGGGCCAGCTCTTTCCAATTGAAAAAGCCACTTTCGGGTCCATTTTCGAGACTTTTAGAAGGTCTAAGCCCTTATTGCAAGCGAAATGGACCAAACAAATGTAAAGAGAAACCACCTCTTACTAACCAGGTTCGAGGTCAGTTCAGTTAGTTAGGAACATGTTATTTCCCACTCAAATCTAATGAGAGCAGAAAAAACGAGAATTCTTAATTTACAGTGCGGACAACGAATACGAAGTTAGTTAAAACGATGACTTTGCACTTTCGATTTTATTCGCCGATCGCGGCGAATTTGATCTCTAGCTGACATGCTAGATATTCACTTGATATTGCCATGAGAATAAAGGTAAAGACAGACCGGCACGGACTTCCCATGTGGTGTTTGTAGTCGCGACGCACAATCGCCTTCTAAGTAAATTCTTGCTCTCACAAGCTTGCCTTAAAGGATTTTCCCTTTTTGTAAGAGATGATAGGAGGCTTTGTAAAAATTGAATGGGAACTCAAAGCAGTTACCTATATAGCTATTAGTAACATACCTCTTTCATGGACTCAAGGCTGCAAAGGTGCGCAGTTTCTTTCAAGGAAAGCATGACAGCATCTGGAACCTCAGTCGGGTACTTCAATTCCTGGCTGCATGTTGGTATCTTCAAAATGACTCTGTGTGACGATAGCTTGGACTTGATCATCTCAGGACAGAGCAAAAAAGATGAGAATTAAACTAAACATTGTGAAGTACAATCAAAAAAGTTTGTTACACTTAGTTATTTACGTTGGTTATGGTTCTTTATAACCCACCCTTTAATTTCCGTGCGATTCTTTTGGTTACTTTACGTCACGTGATGAGAGTTATTTATGAGAGTTATAAGTTGTCCCACGATTATCTCTTTCTTAAAGAGACATCGTAACTGGAAAAAAGCCAGCTCAAGAGTTTCACTTTTCCGTCTTTCTTACTTTACTTACTTAGAAGAAAACCCGACTTCGTTTTGTAGAGTCCAGTGATGTGAAAAAGATGATCTCAAATGCTGCTCTGGAAAGTACCAAAAAAGTCAACAAAATTTTGCTGTCAACGCGCGATACGAAAACTAATGTCAGGGTTATGAAATAAATAAACACCATTCTGACTTCCTGATTTGTCAGCTGATAATTCCCTTAGCTGACAGATTGTCCTCAAAATTTCACATCTGCCCTCGGAGCTTCACTTATTGGCCAAATATTCATTTTTTGGACAATATCTCAGCCGCGGATGCTTTCAATAAGTTTTTTAATAAATATTTTGAAAGCAATACTCAGTTAAGGTCCTAAGTCATCAAATTCTCATTTATCGTCTGAGAAATGAAACTAACATTGATTTTTCCTTCGGCAGGGAAATCGCACGAACACGAGTGCATTTAGAAGTCTATTGTCTCAAGGTTTTTTCTTCGTGTTTTGGCAATAATATTGTAACACCAGCAGAAACATTAAAAAGTTTGAAAACCACTGATCAAAACATCAATAGTTACCAGAAATCACGAAACGCGTGTGCAGTTCATACGATTTAATTATTTATTTTCAGATCGTGGCAAAATAGTCTCCCAAAACTTCCGTGTAAGTTCTTGAGCAGTGAAATGAGAGGTTCAAATTTCGGGACCAAAATACAATTTTAACAACAACACCGAGTTTTCCAAACTACTGGATCACTCTTTCAGTCTTACCATGACAATAATTCTCGGAAAAGGCACCGAAAACCATTCATTTTAGATTTGGTTCCCTTTAATTTACCAAAAATTAGGTTCTGATTTAACCTGACAAGGAACACAAGTTATAGCCATAATCTCAGATTAGCGAGATAAAGCTATTTTTTGCCAGCTTTAGTGTAAGAATTTACTGTATACCTTTTCCGAAAGCAAGTAATCTTCTCCCAGTTCCGGAGCTTTCTTAATCATTTCATTGATTGTTTCTCTGAAAACATGAAGTGCTGAATCCTTTGCTTCGGTCGTCTTCCCGTAAGCCGCCTTTCAGGAAAAATATTTCACAAGTGTTACTAGATGTTTGATTGGAAGGGTTACGACAGTAACCAGCCATAATCAGTAATATTAAAAATATCGCAGCTTTCCAGCTGTCAAAAAAAAGAGAACAAAGTGAATTTTTTTTTCATTTTTCTCACCTCAAATATCATGCAGGCTAGTCGAGGGCCGGTAAGAGATACCAATGTCATTGTCTTCCTCAGATCCATAAACGGTTTGCATTTTTTCTATGGCGTCTATTCTCTCGTTGTCAAAAAAAGCAGCGAAGTCTTTTTCCACTTCCGAGGGCCTATTTGCTGCCGCCGTGTCTTCCACCTTTCTCTGATCCTTTCTCACCAGTTTTTCACTGAGATGAGCCAGTATTGGAAAAAAAGAAAAGCAAGGTAGGAAAAGTAAATCAATTCCCATTGCCTCTGCATTGTTAAATAGCCAGTACTCAGTCGCACTAGTTTGACAAAATATTTTTGCATCCATCAGAAATCTCGGAAATTTTGTCGTAACCCAATCTTTGGGAAGCGCGATGGTAGACAACGTGATAATAGCGAAGGATTAAGAAAAGAAGGAAGTTTTGGTTTAAAACTGAAACGCCCGGGCTTAATTTCTGCTGCTCCCTTTAGCTAAGATGTTTGCTAGGATTTAGCGTAGAGTATTTACTTAGTAACCCCACGTAGAAGAACTTACATTTGAGCTAGTAACATTTATTATTAGAAAACTCAGAGGGCTGTGTGAGAATTCTGTGTTGTAAGCGGAATTTCAACAGACAGCTACAGTTGTTGTATACGGATATTCGCTAGGAGGAAGTGGATAACTATGAATCCAATATGGCGATACAATTACGGATTATTTATTTAGAATGTCAGATATTTAATTAATTTGCTACTTCTTCGTTCCCATTTTAAAAAATAAAAGCAATGTTAAATTGCGGTATGCATTTGACCTGGAAGATCGCTTCTATCGGCAAATCGTAAATACCTCATTTTCATCTCCCTCAATTCTTCATCTTTGCTTCCCAAAAGAGCTTTACATTGTTCTTTCAGCTCTTTCTCCCTGAAAAAAAATATAAGAAACAAAACTGAGTAAGCGGCGATACAAGTAAAATAAATTACAATTAGGCGATACAAGATACAATTATTCCATTCGTTATCATCTTGAGTACTGCAGTTCCATGCTATTTTGGTTCAGAATGAGAGATGTTGCTCAATTGCAGCCTGTAACGTACTGATACCAATAAATACTGTTCAGCTCCTCTCTATTCGCTTTCAGATTGTTCTCGTAGTGGGGCTTAATCCGAGATATCCCTGCCACGTTGTTGTCCTCTATTTGATTTTTTTCTGATTTTTTATTTATTCTTCATTTCTTAATTACTCCTTCACTCTTCTATGTTTACTTTCTTATGTAACTTATTTCTTATGTTTCTCTTTTTTCAACTTGTGTTCTAGAATACTCAATTTTGGTAATTGTTTCACAACTTTTAAGGTGTTATTTTATTAGTGTAACTGGGATACTAGCTGGCATCCGACAAAGTGGGTGTTACCGTCGGTCCAGAAATAGACCGTTTATACTTGTTGAAGATTACTACTGCGTGGTGACCTTTAACCTGAATTTCTGTAAAACGTATTAATGTTAAACTTAAATATTTTCTTTTTAACTTGAATAAAAGATTGTAGTAAATAATTTTTAAATTGTTCAGGTTGGTTTATTTTGACCATACATCTTAAGAACGATAGTGACAACTTGGGTTGAAAAAGATTTTAACACTACTTAGTCAGTATGTTCATTATAACCTTGGCCTACTGCGCAAGGCATTACGCAAGCCTAAATCAGGTAAGGCGTTCGGTTGATGAACAACTTTCAATCCCTGGTCAGTTCTTCCTTGGCTACTTTAAAACTTTAAAGTGAATAGAGTGAAGTGGAGAGTAATAAGCAGCCAATTTATAATACCAGTGGAACCGACATCAAACACAAAGAAGTTAAAGATACAACGCATTTGTCTTTGTTGGTTAGTGTCTACTTCTGCGTAAAAAGCTACTTAACAGTAGACATTATTATTTTGTTTTCTAAACGAAAACATTGTATACATTGAATCGGGGAGTTCTGGGCTGGTTTCTCTGCTCAAACTTTACAATTTACGAGTAACATCGTGATGCAAACTTATTTCCAAGATTCTTTCTTGCTCGCTATTATTGTGAGATGTGTTTCCACAACTTTATAATAATATTATAAATAAAAATTATACAAAAACTTTATTTAAGAGCGAATGTTATTTTATTCAATTTTGTGTAACTGGAGATACTAATATCGATTTATTTTCTGGCATCCGACAAAATTTCAGGTGGGAACGTGCGTTACCGTCTGATGAAAAGTACCAAATCTTGAAAAACAACATAAAATATTTGTTGACCAATTTGTTTATACTTGTTGAAGATTACTTGTTTAAAAATTGGTCTGTTCTTTAACTATGTGACTGTGACCTTTAACCTGAATTTCTGTAAAACGTATTAATGTTAAACTTAAATATTTTTTTTTAACTTGAATAAAAGATTGTAGTAAATAATTTTTAAATTGTTCAGGTTGGTTTATTTTGACCATACATCTTAGAGAACGGTACCAGAGAACGATAGTGACAACTTTATATTTTCTTTTAATGAAAAGGAAAATGCCATGTTAAAATGGATTTTCGAACAAACGGAAGGCCCTTATTCTGGTTGATGAATAGGCAGAACGTTGACGTAGCCTGGTGCTATGGCAATGATTAAACCTCGTTGCGAGAGAACGGTATCTTTAAAGTTTCATTTTAATGAAATGGGGATGTGTTTCATAGTAGTTTCACTGTTAAAATGGTTTTAAAATGGTTTCGATTTTATTTGTTTTTGTCTGTTCCTGAACACTACTTAGTCAGTATGTTCATTATAACCTTGGCCTACTGCGCAAGGCATTACGCAAGCCTAAATCAGGTAAGGCGTTCGGTTGATGAACAAAGATAAGCAAACTTGAAAAGTCAAGTCAAAGAAAAGCACTAAACGAGAAGGATTTCATGAAAAAGCTATCATCAGCTTAAACTCAATCTGCAATTTGCGAACCAAAATCTTGCGCTAATATCATAATAAACATTAGTGACTTATTAAAACAACATTACTGGAGTATTATTTTTTGCTAATACTGTAATAAGAGTAATTTTCATTCATTAAAACAACATCATTGGAGTACTATCTTTTGCCACGTGAATCGTGTCGTTTCGGTCGAGTGATTGACTGGTTTGGTGTCACCTAAGGGAGGATAACGCTCCACTGTGACTGGTTGAGCAGGGAGGCATTTCGTCAGCGCATGTGCGAGATTAATTCAAGTCTTGCCCGTTTGGCGCCATTCTGGCGTTTTCAGCGCGCTTCCGCGGTATTTCAACAAGACGATCGTCACCTTTGTCTAAAAATTTTTGAAGAGGAACGTTATCTTACTATTCTTTACTCGATATTGACCTTTATTTTAGATAATCGGCCCCGCCGGTTGTGATTCATGTCAAAAAAAAAACTTTTCTGAAAACTTTCATCATTCGTCTCTCGTCTTTCGCTTAAATTGAAAGTACATTACACCAGCAGTTGAAGCTCTACAAAACGCTTACAGGAAAGTGAGAACTTCAAACGATCAAAAGGTAACTTAAAAGAGCAATAACACGATCAACTTATTATCCAATATGTCCATGCTCTTCAACAAGCCTCCTGCATCCTTCATAAAAAAACATCATCTTCATGGATCGTACAAACAATCATAAAACAAGACTCGAAGTCGTTAGCTGACTCGGAAATCACTTCATTCCGCACACCACACAACAATTTTAAGACTTTAACGCTTCCATCTAAGTTACAGAAGGAAACATGACAAGAAAGGTTGTTGTTTTCCGACGTATCTTCCTGCTTCTCTTCTAGTCTTCAGCGGGAAACCGACACAGGCACATACCAGCAGTTACTCGCATCAAAACAAAAAATTTATAAAATGCCTCTCTACTGACTGGTTGGTTTTTAACACCCAATCATGTTGGACGTATACTCAAGAAAACAAAAATTCCGCGTAGATGAGCTACAATTATTGAAATTGAAGAAAAGAGGCCTGAAGAAATTTAAGTTACGACATGATTCGAACCCCTAACTCCAGGGTATTAGTTGGGTGCTGCTATCTAATACGCTGCAAAACTTCATGTGAGAGTATAATACAAGAAAGGTTCTGTCAAATACTCGATCCATTGTTGTTTTGCGACGTTTCTTCCTGCTTCTCTTCTAGTCTTCAGTGGGAAACCGACACAGTCACGATCATACTCTTTTGGCCGTTAAGATTAGACTCGCTTCTCCCGTGCCGTCTCAAATTCAACTTATACTGGTGAGATGTTATGAAAATACAGTGAAATGTAAACAAATTTTAAAGTTTATAATTTGAGGATTTACCTTTCCTCTTGCTTTTTAATTTTGTCTTTTGCCTCTTTTTCCTTTTTCTTCAATTCTTCTATGAGTTTCAGATTTCTAAGAAAAGAAAGAGCTTCTTCACAAACCGTACAATTATGATTAAAACCAACCAAATAGTACTCCTTACATTGTGTCTTGTAAAGTAAATCCTAAAGCATCAAAATTGTTTTTGCCTACATTTATTTCTGGAAAGAAATTATTCGGCATTCTGACACTAGTATCAGCTAAAAGCACCTCAACTTAACAATTTTTGCCGCGTCAAATTTATTTGTGAAATGCAATTTAGGGGGTAGCTTAAATACATTTATAATCTATGGAAAAAATAACTGTATTAATAACTGAAATTTCAATTTAAAGCCAGGAAATTTGTTTGTAACAGCTGTGTTGCCCTTTGCCATTTTCCTGTTATGGATTTGTTTTGATAAAATTTCACGTTAAATCATATTTTAAAGAAAAATGTCTCTAAATCAGATTGGAGATTTTCATTTCAAGTCAAGAATTCTGAATTTCTTTCAGGTTGCAAGGGTGGCACATTCGCTTGGGCAATATACCGATGCATTGAAAATGTCGAAAGATATTTGAATAACGCGAATTATTCAGCTACAACATAGTCATATCATAGGCATATCAACACTCATATCGAAAATCTTTAAAATTTCACTCTTTCAAGATTTTACCCGTTCTTTAAACCACTTTGATGTACCTTTAATTGTGATCAAGTAGCCTTTGGCATATCTTTGCTCTTCTTTTGAAGCACAGAACTTCTTATCTCAGTGGAGACGAAGAGTACAACAAACTTTTTTATTTACTTCTTTGGCTTCCATGCGTAATAAGCAGATAACCAAGGCTACTTACAAACTAGATGTACGGAAGTGGGAACTACGGTTGCCGTCATGAAAAAATTTTGTCGGCCAAATGGGTGATCATAGTCTCCTATTTATGGAGATCCACAAGTAAGTGGCAGTTAAATGAGTCTTAGGAGTGCTGGTTTTGAGGAACACTAACCATGGCAGTTTAGAGGCCAATTTTATAGATCCTAAAAGTGGCTATTTTACTTAGTAGGATATAAATTTAGGTGTTCTCACTCCTCTTCCACCAGTTTTAACTGTTCTTTGTTTGCCTCTATTGTATCTTCCTTTTCCTTCAATTCTCTCTCCACGTACCTAATAACATAGCGTGAGGGAGCAGGTACGGAAATAAAAACGTTTCAGTCGTTTAACCATCGCTGAAGAAAAGGTCTGACACTTGCTTCTAGTGGTATAATAGAAACATTTAGCACCAGGGTTTTCGCATTACAAACAATCAAGGATTGAGTGGAATGGTGAAGGCTTTGCCCTTCTTTCATCAACCTGACCGGGTGGCGCCTAAGACGAGTAACGTGTCGGCAGCTGATTTGCGACATCAATCACACTTAAAAAATATGGTAATTCTTTTTCGCTGGGCTGGAAATCCTTGTATAACACCGCAGTTTATATGATAATCTAAAGTAACAATTTAATGAGAGAGAATCATAAATGTGCGCGAGATACTAACGTAACAATCGAATGAGAGAGAATCCTAAAAGTGTACGAGATACTAACGTAACAATTTAATGAAAAAGAATCCTAAAAGTGTGCGATATACTAACGTAACAATCTAATGAAAAAGAATCCTAAAAGTGCGCCATGTACTAACGTAACAATCGAATGAAAGAGAATCCTAAAAATACACGAGATACTAACGTAACAATCTGATTAACCGTTTACAAAACTATCCTGTCTCATTGAGACCCTTTTGCCATTGAGGATGGTATCAATAGTATCGAAACATACTTTTCATATTTAACAATGTCGTTTTTAATGTAGATTGCAATTCCTTTCGTTTTCAATCTATTTTTATGTTTGTGTCTTATTAACATTTTGCCAAAGATACATCTCTCTTTATATTGTATCGCCTCGTTTTCAATTCTGATCCAACAAGCTTAAAAAGACATTGAAATTCCAGATGCAAATAAGATCAATTTACTGAGGTAATGGTAATAAGTTAGCTACCTTCTTGATAGTTCTACTAGAATAAGACACAAATGCCGACGTTGACAATCACGTGACGTTTCTCATCGTCATCTTGTCACATATTTCACATATCTACTTACTTTGCTGTGAAATTTCCATCATTTTTTAGTCGCATTTGCTCGTCCATTGGGAGCAAAACGGTCAATTTAGATCTCAGCCTCGTTTCCTGTTCAATTCAAGTCTACGAACTACCACACGTTGATCAGGAGATCTTTCTCTACCAGAATCAAGTGTCAGACTTTTCTGCGGCGGTGGTTGAACGTAACTACTTTCTTTCGGTATCTGCTTCTGACTATTAAGTAAAACTATGTATATATATATATATATATATATATATATATATATATATTTGTATACGGAAGTATATACGTGCTAGAAAACCTGCAATGTGATTTGCGGTTCTAACAGTTTTTTAAGAATCACCATAAAAATATACGAAATGCGAAATCGGATAAAGCTGTCTCTGCTAAACACCATTGAGCTGTGCACGCTTTTCATAGCCTCAAGTGCTGCAGTCATCTCTCTGACAGTTTGGTCCAGGGTCGCTAAACTGTAAAGAACGCTAACACTTATTCAAAATTGATATTTGATGATTAAAAAAATAAGATAAATTAACATATTGAACGTTATTATCATGGCAATGATAATGATGATAATAATAATACAGTCTTCGCCCATTATTATTACTATCATCTACATCAATGACAATATGTAAGGTTAAAACTCGAGCCAAGAGGCCCACACTACCGGAACTTATCGCTGTTTCCGTCGACTGAATCTATCAGTAGCTACTCCTTAGTTCATCGCAGGGTGACCGAAGAATACTTACTACAAGTAAACGATCGCGACATAACGTAATTTTGGTTTTTATTACGTCAGGGATGATGTTCATAATGCCATTCATTTATTGTAACGCGATCTCGGTTCACAACCTGTGAAAAAACAGTTAGTTTATCTTATTGAGGAAAAAATGTGGACGGGAAAAACCATGTAACTAACAGTTTCAAAACTTTGTCTTTTCTAGGCCTTAATTGTTTCTGCTATGTCCATCGCGGCTTCCCTTTGTGAATTCCAATTTAAAAGGATCCTCAGGACTAAAACCACACTCTCCCAAGAATTAATCAAATTAGCCTTTACGGAAGTCACCAATTACAAACCTTTCTTATGTCCATAATAATGTTCAGCTCGAAACTTTATCGTGACAATTTCACATGATATGTTCGTGAAGTTATTTTTGCCTTACAGGATCGAAATTGACTTTTTCGAATTAATTACCAACACGGCTGAATCTCTAATCTCGAATTATCGTTACGATGTCGTAAATACATCAGATAAAAGGTTAACGTTTGCCTACCGTTTATCGTATCGAATTCGCCCGTGAAATCGTCCTTAACAGATGGTTAACACCAAAATGTATTTTTTTTCAGGAGACAGCAGAGCGATTAAATCGTTGATGCCAGACCGAATCACGTTTGAAGAGCACTGACAAAGCACTGACTACAAATATCAACATTCCACCGACAGGTACATGTGAGGTTTGCTATGAATACGAATGCGTGTCAAGTTTTGTGTGATTCATTGAATTATCGCTTAATTAACCGCAAACGCCTCTTGTCCGGATTACGTTATGTCGGTACGTCAGATCTAGTAAATTATTGAAATGATCTTTAGGGAATGTATTGCGTTGTGAGGTACATTATTTTCGATTCTTCAGCATGCAAAGCGCAATTGAACTTTTCGATATAATTTTGAAAAAGGTTCATTAAAAGGGTCCTTTAGGAAAATTCTAGATATTTACTCATGGTCAGTGGCTCTTGATTATCTTTAGTTTCTCCCTAAACACATATGCCTGACCTTACCCCCGTCATATGGAAGCTCACACGTAACAGTGTACAAGTGACATGTGTATCAAAACCCGACTTACCTTTGAGTATTCGCGTTTATTTCTGCTTGAAAACATTCCAGTTGCTTTTTCGTGTCTGATCGTGCTAATCTGTCTGACTCATCTCTTCTGCTTAACGAGGAAAAATCTGCTAATGAAGTTGTCTCGTTAACACCAGACACTTAGTTATGTGTTATATTTAACTATGTGACATTAAACTTAGAGAGGTGCGAAAATTTAGGGCAAGATATCTGCACGGTACATTCTAATGTTCGATTCATTCATCAATGTTGTCTTACGTACCCGTGTTCGGTCGCTTCGGGTTGATTTGTAGCCCTTGTTTCCTTCTCAAGCCACTGCTCAATCCTTTCCGGCAAATTGGAGAAGACATCGCGATTAGCTATTAACACAGCGATAAACGACCTCCTTGAACGAGCTCCAGCGTCGTCGATCGTCGTTTCTGATTCGGTAGTGGGGGATTATGTATCTGTCATTGTCACAATACAGCGAATAAAGAGCAAAGATTAAAAATATCGAGTTCTTGCACATGCAGAGGGTTGATAACCTAAATCAACAGGCCATTTTCCACGGTTGAGAGATCTCATGCTGAAATACCATGACTCTTAATTCGTACTTTGCCTCGTTCTCGTGCCTCAGTGAGAACTTGAAAATGGCCCAAACCGCTGGGAGAATTTACAAGATTTCTGAGAAAAACCGGAAGTGCCATGTACTTATTACTATTTATTTGTTCATTTATTTTCATTTTAAAATTTTGACAAACGATTTTTAAGCTGAGCATAACATACAACTTGTCAAAAGGTTAAAACAGACGAAAGTCCAATCGAATATACGCCATAATTCATATACCACACGGTCCTTCACATTGATTTCAACAGCGTCTGATCTCTCTTATTGAAAGAAATCGTTATCTTTGAGGCCATTCTAATTATGACGTAATCTATCCAAGAAAGGGACAAAATCCCTTATAAAACATAGTAATGACCTAGTTTCCTAGAAGGCGATTATTTCACCGCTGTGTGGTTTCTACTAAAAATCTTCATGTACGATGAACAAGAGCTCTCTTCAAGATGCAAAGAACCTCGGAAGGTGAGTTGACGATGAATAACCAATGGCGACCGACCACTACATAAGTTCATGAAATCGAAAACAGAATTGAAAGTCGCTCAAGTAAACATCCTTAGTATTAAATGGACCATATAGTTTTTGAAGGCGAAAACAAGACCTCATTGATTCGTCTCATTTATGACTAAATATAAAAATGGAGTTCGATTTTCTTCAAACTTGGCATTCTCCAAAAACGATGATATTAAGAAGTCGATGACTTTTCGGCATTCGCGGATTTCTTCTGCAAATTTTAGCTTTGCGATGATGACATATTTCAAGCGTTGAAGCTTTCTACGATTCGGATAACATCAAATCAACTGCTGAATAGAATTCTGCTTATCTACTTATTGAAAATACATGTGCTGAAACCACGTTTTATTACTTTGCATTCCTTTCAGTCAAAGTTTTATGTCATCTTCTGCCTCTCTCATCTATTTGACATTTCTTTTTGGAGCATGTGTCTATTTAATTATTTAGTTGTTGACTATAGTTATCGTTCAACAGATGATCAAGAGGGAGGTGAACTTTTCCTCTCCTCTCCTGTTACATTCATCGCTGTGGTAGCAATTGACCTTGGCACAACGTTTAGTGGGTTTGCATTTGCGTTCAATAACAAAGAGGGAGAAAAAAGTATCCACATGAAGAAAGAATGGGGAAGTGACCAAGGCTACACTATGAAGACACCTACGTGTTTGTTGCTCAATCCAGACCAGAGTTTCAATTCGTTTGGCTATGTAGCAAAAGATAAATTTGCTGATTTTGAGGAAGAGGAAGCTCGACAATATTTTTATTTTTAAAGCTTTAAAATGATTCTTCATAACAATGAGGTGAGGGAAAAATTCATTTTGTTTTTTCAAACTTCCTTATTTAGGATAAATATTGGTAAGGATTTTATATTAAAAAACATTAGTCAATTCTGGTATGGAAGAAAGAAGCTGTGTTATTCTGATAAAAGTTGAGAGAAGTTGTTGCTGAGAGTGGTAGCAACGATGCCTCAGTCGAGGACACCATCGCCCGATCAGAAACACAGTACATGGTAATTGACATTGGAGGTAAATTCAATTTTCCTACTAGCAAACGTTTCTACTCAAAACTTTTGACTTGAACAAAGACATCGACCTTGTCCGGTTAAAAGCTTTATTTTATTTGCGTTAGTTTTTTAAGTTTGTCTATTTGCCATGATGATCAGCAGAGTAAACAGAAAGTATAAATCTAAAGACAGAAATAGTCATCACATGTAAAGCTAGACACCTCATTTTTTAAGTGATCAATTTTCCATCATTTTCATCAAATGTTTCCTGTTGTAATAAATGTGAAAATTGCTATTTTAAAATCTTAAAAAGTCTTTTCTTCATGTGGGCGGAACTCTTGATGTGACTGTTCGTGAACTTGTGGAAAACGGTGTAATCCGAGAGCTTTATAAAGCCACAAGGGGTCCATTTGGAGGACATAATGTCAACAGACAGTTCAGGATCCTTCTTGAACAAATTTTCACCAAATCCTTCCTCGATAATTATGCCCATCACGATCCGGTGGATTGGCTCTGTCTCATAAACGATTTGAGGTAAAGAAACGCGGAAAATATACCTGTGAAGGGGGGACGACACGAATCCGGTTGCCTGGTAGTTTCTTAAGTAAATTTCTCAGCCAGAGAGGTTGCGATATTAACACAGCCATTCAGCAGCATTACAGCCTGGATGAAATAAAAGTCCTTCGTAACGAGTACCTCTGCCTTGAACCAAAAGTCATGAGGCAGTTCTTCAACCCAGTCTTGGATGACATCATTTCCCACCTATCCAACCTTCTCGCCAAACCAGAGTTGTCTGGGGTCAAGTTTGCATTTCTCGTAGGCGGTTTTTCTGACTCAGCTGTTTTACAGGAAAGAATCAAGGGGCATTTTGGCCAAGCCTATCGCATTTTAATACCGCACTGCGCATCCCTTGCAATTGTTCAAGGTGCTGAAGCTTTCCACATAACAAACTTTAGGTCGACATTTAATAAAGCCTCAAAGCCTCTAACAATAAGACCTATTTTACTATTTTCTTCATTCTGTAGAAACGCTCATTATCCATTATATTCATTTTGTACTTCGCTTACAACCCATGGTAAAAATACTGCTAGTTTAACATCCTTGTGACACTAAAGTGATTATGGTTCTGGAATAGAGAATGTCGCATGAACTAAAAATTAATTTACATTTATTTCCATTCCCGGCTCGCCTTCTTCCTTCTTTACTCGAAAATTTCAGTTGCTTCTGTACGTGTACTTGTATTTCCTGTTCATTTTGCAGCTAACCTTTGCCGTTGGAGCAATAACATCATTCCCTCACCATGATGCCAGTATATTTCTATTACTTTTATGAAAATGATAGACTTCAACTTTCTATGGGTTTGCCGTTGCAATAAACGGTTTTTCACAAACCAGGGCGCCTGTAGTGTCTCAGTGATACTTTTCACCTTCTAGAACAGAAAGGGAGCACACAGAAAGAGCCTTGTCTTAATTAACATCGATCCAGAATTACCCCGTGCCTGAAAGAGTATTGTTAATCTTTTCATGTTTTTTAAATTAAATATCGAACATATCGTGCTACCTCATTGATTCCCATAAAGACTTTTAAAATGCTTATTGAATGCCAGCGTAAGAAGCATCCGTCATCTTTAACCGTATCATATGCGTTAATCTTCGTCATCCTTAAATATTTTGGTTCATCTAAAGTTTCTTAGAATCTCTTCTTTGTTAAGGTGATTGCAAACAAATATGGCAACATATTTTCCTTCGAACGCTGGGTTCATTCTCTCCTAGAGTCTTGACAGTACGACTCTAATAAAAGCAGCCAACGGACAACCTGTCAAGGCCAAGACACTGGTTGCAAGGTGCATTACGTTTCTTAAAGACAAAACGATCAAAGTAATTTGTCAGCGAAGAGGAGATCATTTCAGTCCAGACGATTTCCCGTGGGTTCTAATTGTTCCGACAATATGGACTCCAATCGCAAAGCAGTTTATGAGAGAAGCAGCTTATCAGGTAATGTTAGAAGACCATATCTTATCCAGTTCGAAATTAAAGCCTTAAACTCTTGAAATCTGGGCGTGCTACATAATTTTCCTGTTTTCAGTCACAAGTTCTTCTCATCGAGAAATAATTCCTCCGTTTTATATTATTTATAGCCCACAGCATAACATGAAGTCTATTTAGGTGTGCCAATCTTATGGAAAACGTGATCATAACATTTAATAGTGCATGCCTATTTTTATCGATTTTACAACATCTTTCAGGTTTGTTTTTTTAGGTATGCTGACTAGATTAAAAAGTCTTTCTTTTTCAAAGGCTTGTGTGAATATTATGTTAAATAATCCCCCAAACGACTTCGAGAGGAATATTCTACAATATTCACTGAGCTTAATGGCTTTAGTATAATTGCTCAGGTGTTTTCGAATTTTATGGTAAATTCGTTTTGATGCTAAAATCATTCTGTTAGAATTGTTTTGGTTACTCGTATCAAGATAAGAAGCTAGTTTCCGCTAGAATTTAACAGGTTTATTTGATTCAATCAGCAAAAATTTCCTACATTAGTTTTGAAAAGTGTTAAGCCAAACTTATTAGCATCTTTTGTGCTCTTCAGAATTGTATTTTCTTTCACCGCGTTTATCATTTTCTGCGTAACACTGGTAAAACGCGAGGCAGTCATTTAAATTTTTTGTACCTCTACTATATTAACCTCGCGCGAGTGATTCTTGCGAGATATGACGCAATACTCGACCAATCAGAGCGCGCGCATCTCTTTAATCACCGAAGTAATTATACTATGTTTTTTTGGGCTTTGTTCTTTTAGGTTATGTTTTTTTTTATCATTGATTTTAGCTATGTTAACCATTATCATTATTGTTGTTAGCGATCGCATTAGTGTCATTATAGGAGATGAACTTTGTTCGTTTGTCTCACAACAGAGTCACTTATGATGTAGATCGCGACGTTTCGACTGCAATACTGTGGTCCTCCGACATACCAACTGTCCAAGTACCTGACGACAATACTACAACCGCTCACCGACAAATCCAGACGAAAACCACAATCCACCAAGGACTTCATTAAAGCCACTAAGACTGTACAGATACCTGTTGACTACAAACTAGAGTCATTTGATGTGAAATCGCTTTTTACAAGTATTCCACTTCAACTGGCACTACAATTTACCGAGACTGCTATCCTATAATCTACCGACCCTTTACCGCTACCGACAGAGGACGTTATGGATTTACTAAAACTTTGCTTGGCATCAACTTACTTTCAGTACAACGGTAAACACGACAAACAGTTACACGGTACAGCTATGAGGCTATAAGGCTTTCAAAGAACAACTACAACGAAGACTTCATCCAACGTCACACTCACCGACCTACTACTACTACCGAACTGAGTTAACGACAACGGAACTCCTACGACCACAGCAACTATACCATCTTCAATATCCGCGTCGCTCACAAACCTATTACCACACCACGTCAGTTACAGCACCAACTACTTTCAACGACTGACCCTAGAAGGCTGGTTTACTAACTTGGAACAGACTCCCCAAACAACACAACAGCCGATTTATGAGGA